TAAAACCCACTTCATCAGATGCATAGAGTGGAAGATACAGTAGGGTATAAATACACAGCACATGAAAAGATGGGAGTAGCACTGACCCCCCCCACCCCCCCCAACTTGGTAAGGCAACGCCCATCTTTTCATATGCTGTGTATTTATACCCTACTGTATTTTCCACTCCCTGCACCTGATGAAGTGGGTTTTAGCCCACAAAAGCTTATGCCCAAATAAATTTGTTAGTCTCTAAGGTGCCACAAGGACTCCTCGTTGTTTTTGCTGAAACTAGTACTGTGATTCACACAAGAAGTGCACTAGACAGAACATCACCCAGGAGAGTTATAATGTAGCAGCAATATATGATGTTGGTAAACGTTTAGAATCTTTCAGGTAACAAATACTATAGAAATGGAAGAGATTTTATCTTTTCTGAACCTCTTTGTGTCTGACAAGATTCTTAACCTGGCTAAGAATCCAGGAAAATAATAACGATATACCTCTCTCATAGAATTGGAAGGGACCTCGAAAGGTCATCGAGTCCAGCCCCCTGCCTTCACTAGCAGGACCAAGTACTGATTTTTGCCCCAGATCCCTAAGTGGCCCCCTGAAGGATTGAATTCACAACCCTGGGTTTAGCAGGCCAATGCTCAAACCACTGAGCTATCCCTCCCCCCCCGAGGAAGAGATCCTTAGCTGGTGTTAATTGTCATAGCTGCATGGAAGGCTATGGAGTGGTGACGGTTTAAATCAGCTAGATATCTGCCCCCTAGAGAGAACATATTAAAAATAAATGAGAAGAATAATGCAGATTTTTAAGCTGCTAATGTCCAGGATAATGAAGACTTGCTGCAAAATCTACAGCCTGGCAGCCCTTAGTCTGTTGAGTCAGATGTTGAACGTGTGGTTCACAAGTGGCCTCCTATCATTTACAGCATGTTTATTTATTGTATTATTATTTTCCTTAGCTCTACATATGAGTTTGAAGGACCCACTATCGTTTATTGCCCTTCAAGGAAGATCACTGAACAAGTAGCTGCTGAGCTGATGAAATTAAACTTGTCCTGTGGCACATACCATGCTGGCATGGGAATCAAAGCAAGGAAAGACGTTCATCACAGGTTCATGAGAGATGAAATTCAGGTATAAATTCGTACTACAGGATATGTTCTGTAGGAAATGGTTTAGTTATTCCTTTGACATGTACAGAGTGAGAGAATTTTGAAATATCAGTCTTTTTTTCAAATTTACTTTGTACCTTTGACATTATGGGCAAGAAACTATCCTTTGGCTTCCACAGTCTGTCTACAGTGACATAATTTCTGACCTTCGTGTTAGCCTCGTTTACTTTATAAAGATCTTAAACATACACTTCATCCTCAAATACTTCAGTCTTTCCTGGCTGTACAGTCTACAGTGTATAATTAGGAGTGACTTTTCTCACTGCTGATGTGCAGTCATTCTGTCACATAGATCACAGTAATGCCGCAGGAAATAACATTCTACTTTTGAGCTGCTTGGTGGGTAAATGGTATATTTTTAAATGGCCCCATACTAAGCTCCTCTGTATACACTTAGCCTCATTCACATATATTCTTTCTCTTGTCTTTCTAGGAAAAAGGCAAGGCAGGAAATGCATTTCTATCCATTATCTTATTTTGAAAATAATATTATATCTTCAGGTTTTGACTAGTCCCTGAAGTGGAATATTATTTCGCTTAAATGCCATGTGTTTCTGCAACAGTATGATCTTCATGTTGCCATGGGAAATCATTAGGAGGCTGTAGAAAATTTCTCGTGAACTGTTCTGGGTTAATGAATGGAACTTCTGTGATTTATTGCGATTGTATGCTGTTGTGACAATTGAGCCTACAACTTTACCCGAATTGAGCTCAACTGTAAAAAGTATGTAAAAGTTCATAAGATGTTACTAAAACCTAGAATAACAAATGTGGATGGACAAAAAAGTGCAAAAGGGAGACAGAATAACTGAATTGGTCTAAACAAAAAGGCATATTGATATGATTCAAAAGCTGTCTTGAAATTATGCTTCTTAAAAACAGGAGATGTGGAACTGAGAGTTAATGAGTCAAAATTGATGTGTCAAATATTGGGCCTAATTGGTAGATAAAATACTGAAGGTAGGGGCTGTTCCACCCATTACTCCCTTTTTGAGTCCTTAAAAGAAAGAGATTTTGTCGAGAAAGGTATGAAAAATCAAAAGAAAAACAGACAGAAGCTACTGGAGCGAGCTTCACCATCATGGCTGCGACCCCCATTGTTTCCTGGGACCCTGGGCCTTCTTCATTCTGATCCTAAGAAGTGTCCTGATGAGAATGGGCCAGAGAGGGAGGGAACCAGATGACATCACCACCCCACCAGCTCCCGCTGAAACCCAGATACCATCTGGGATGACCGTTATTACCCTCTTTAATACCATCTAAGACTGTCAAAGAAAGGCGGGAGGTTCCTTCTAATACTAGATTTTTACAACAGCAGTAACAGTGACATCATCAGCCCATCTGAACGATCTTCTCTTTTTTCCCCCAAAGTACAGTTATTACTACCTTTGATCCTATCTGAGAGACTGTCAAAGAATGTGGGGAGGAGGGTGTTTTCCTTCTAAAAACTGTCTACAGCTAAATGGAAAGGGAACAAGAGATGTTAACATGGAAACCTTATTTAATACTTTATATTTCAAATGCTTTAACTGTTTTTCCTTTTCTGTCTCTTTAATAAAAGGTTTAAAAGATTTTTTTAATAGTTTATTTGCCATGGTGCCAAGCACGCTGAGGTCTCTGCATTCCAAGCCGTGGACCTTGTTTAACACTGTTTAATGTTAGACAGTAACTGGTTTATGTTAACACCCTTAGTCCATATATCACATCTAAATTAGTACAACAGTGATCAGAAATCTGTGATAAACAATCCACTGCAAGTTTGCTTTCACTATGCTTACCAAATCGCTGCTGAATCACACGTGCACAAAGAAACAGTTATAGCTTGCTGCTTTTAAAGATTGACTTTTAGTATTTCAACCTCTTTGCCCTGATGATTCTCTCTTTCGCTCTTAGAGGAAAATATAAAGTTGCAGGTCATTTTTATTACGTCTCTGATCTGAAAGAGCTGTGCAAACATGTATTTGTTACTCCTGGGGGAATTCTGTGCCACTGCGCGTGCACAGAATTCATGTCCCCCACAGAAAAATGACTTTCTGACAGGGAAGCAAAGGGAAGCTGCAAGAGCAGTCACGCACCACTCCCTAGCAGTGCAGGTACATTGTTTCAGGCACCCGGAGCAGCCGGCGGAGAGGTAAATCACTGCGGGGTTGGGAACACCCCAGCCAGTGGCTCCTACCTTGAGCCGAGATCAGCTGCTAGACCTGGCTGGGCTGGAGGCAGGAGAGGACGGGACTTCCTCTTCCCCTGCAACAAGTGGCTGGGGCTGTGTCAGACCCACCCCCAGAAACCTCCCTCAGCTTCAGGAAGCTCAGCATCCTCCCTTGCTTCCTCCCGCCGTCGCTCCTCAGATGTGGGGAGAGGGGTCACTGCATGGGGAGCTGCTCCCCCATACACCCAACCCCCATGCATTCAAACTTCTCAGACCCAGACACCCCTGCCAAGCCTCACCCAGTCCGTCCAGAACCACCCTAGTCCTCCAAACCCAAACCTCACTCCCATTGAACCTCAAACCCTGCATCTGGAGTCCCCACCCCTGCCCCCCGACCACCCCAACTGAGCTCCCTGCACTCAAACCCCCACGCCACTGACTGCCAACTAGCTGCACCCAGACGCCCACCCCACCAAACCCCCCTCCCCCAGCACCCAGACCACTCCATTGAGACCCCCAGACCTCTCCGCTGAGCCCCAACCACCTTTACCTGGAAGCCCCGGCAGAGTCCCATTGCCCCTGCACCTGGAAACCCCCCAATGAGCCTGTGTGCATCCAGATCCCTCCCCCACACCTAAATCCCCCAATGAGCTGCCTGCACCCAGATTGTCCCACACAAATCCTCTCACCCCACACCTGGATCCCTCCACACTGAGCCCCTCCACACTTGGATCCTGCCTGGTTGAGCTGCCTGCCCCGTACCTGGCACAGAGGGGCAGGGCCCCAGGGTGTTTCTGGGGCAGGCCTAGGCCTTGTGCTGTGTTGGAGTCGGGTGCAGCCTCACCGCTGAGTCTGTGTCCCCGGGGGGGTGGGGGGGGGGAAATAGGGAGGCTGTCGGGTGATCTCCCACCTTCATGCAGCCAGTGGCCTGTGCTCCCCACTGCCATGCTGGAGCCTCTGCATTTATTTATTGACAAATAAAACTTGCAGAAGCGTGTGCAGACTTTTTAATTTTTTGGCACAGAATGCACTCGGGAGTAAAAATGTGTATATCTGTATTCTATATGGATAATCTCAATCATCAAAAGTTACAGTGACTTGTTCTATTGGTGGTTGAACCCAGTGTTCCTAACTTCTCATCCCCTGCTCTAAGCATTCTAAGTCTGCTGACTCATTATGACTGTGATTAATGATGTGCTTATGCTGCAACCAATACATGACTCCTTACTGACAGCAGTATAGAAGCTGAGTGTGATTTGAAGCTACTAAACTTTAGGCTGAATTTGAATCTGTGGCACAAAAGTCATTACACACTGTGTTGGCATTAATAGAGGTTTAGACCTATTTTTATAGATTCATAGATTCATAGATTCATAGATTCTAGGACTGGAAGGGACCTCGAGAGGTCATCGAGTCCAGTCCCCTGCCCGCATGGCAGGACCAAATACTGTCTAGACCATCCCTGATAGACATTTATCTAACCTACTCTTAAATATCTCCAGAGATGGAGATTCCACAACCTCCCTAGGCAATTTATTCCAGTGTTTAACCACCCTGACAGTTAGGAACTTTTTCCTAATGTCCAACCTAGACCTCCATTGCTGCAGTTTAAGCCCATTGCTTCTTGTTCTATCCTCAGAGGCTAAGGTGAACAAGTTTTCTCCCTCCTCCTTATGACACCCTTTTAGATACCTGAAAACTGCTATCATGTCCCCTCTCAGTCTTCTCTTTTCCAAACTAAACAAACCCAATTCTTTCAGCCTTGCTTCATAGGTCATGTTCTCAAGACCTTTAATCATTCTTGTTGCTCTTCTCTGGACCCTTTCCAATTTCTCCACATCTTTCTTGAAATGCGGTGCCCAGAACTGGACACAATACTCCAGCTGAGGCCTAACCAGAGCAGAGTAGAGCGGAAGAATGACTTCTCGTGTCTTGCTCACAACACACCTGTTAATACATCCCAGAATCACGTTTGCTTTTTTTGCAACAGCATCACACTGTTGACTCATATTTAGCTTGTGTTTAACAGCTAAGTTAAACACGTATGTTATGATTATTTCCCAGTGCATTGTGGCTACGGTGGCCTTTGGAATGGGTATCAATAAAGCAGACATCCGGAGAGTTATTCATTATGGTGCCCCTAAGGAAATGGAATCCTACTACCAAGAAATTGGAAGGGCTGGCCGTGATGGGCTTCCTGCTTCTTGTTACGTATTTTGGACTGCAGCCGATATGACTTTTAACAGGTATAGTCTTGGGAACAGCCTGGGGTCATAGGAAACTTGTTCATTCTGTAGCCAGAATTTACTATCATGAATGAGCAGGAGGGGGCGGGTTTAAAATGTTTGCCGGTAGCGAAGATACTCTGTTGCTTTGCTATATGGTGCCTTCGCTTAATATATGTGAAAACATTCGTTATGCAATGATATCCTCCAGGAACACAGTATGCGTCCAGCAGTCTTCTGCTTCGTCCCACCCTGCTTCCCTGAGAGGGTCCATGATGTGAAGGAAGGTAGCGGTTAGAATGCTAAGTACAGGGCCTGTTGTTATTTTTGGAAAACATATACTTAAAAGCAACATGAATTCAGTCTTTCCCTAAAACTGACCTGTTCAGGCTTGGACTTCTCGATAGTCAGTGCACCATCCTTGCAGTCCCTTAGTCTAGTTCCCACTGATGATATGTCAGTGTTTCTCTTACAAAGACACCCACAGAAAGGAAGATGACAGAAAGGTCTCTCTCATGTCCATCTCCATCCGCCTCCCCCTTCCCCTGGCAGGGATCTTGAAGGTTTAGTGTGTTGTGCTGTAGGGAAAGACTTTTTGTGGAGCACTGTCCAACTACAGATTGAGAACCACTGCTGTGTATGAAATAGGTTGAATGTGGTAGGTACTGTGAGTATGCTGTCACTATTCGTTCAAAGAGAAACTTGTGGACAAGTGTTTAAGCTTATTTGTTTTTTGTTTTAATGGCAGATATCTTTTAAATGAGATACGTAATGAAGGATTCCGACTATACAAATTAAAGATGGCGGCAAAGATAGAGAAGTACCTTAACTCAAACAGCTGCAGGAGAAAGTGAGTATTATATTTTACTGCACATTTTCTGTAAGTCCACAGTACGCAATTCGTATTGGCCATTGCAGTTCAGTCACAGCTGAAGATGTAGCTACATAACTTAAATGCTTTGCAAAAATGCAATTTTATTTTAAAAAGTGATATTTACCATCTTTTGCATAATTAAATACCAGCATTAGGAACTTCTGATTTACTTTTTAAAAACAAACGTCCTTGTCTCTGGTGAAATCAAGTGCAAATAATTGGCTCCCAGGTGAATCAATTAATGATGATGATTTCAACTCATTGTTTTTTTGCAATGAATTTAACGTGTAAATTCTTGTTCTTTTATTTAATTCTCGATGTTCCCGTGGGTAGAATCATCTTGTCTCATTTTGAAGACAAACAACTCCGGAAGGCCTCCTCTGGCATCATGGGAACAGAAAAATGCTGTGATAATTGCCGGTTCAGGTAAATGTTCCTCCCTAAAGACTACAGTGTTTAGACTATCTATCTTCCCTATAACATACAAGACAAATGAAAATAAGTACATCAGTAATTTCTCCTAATAAAATATTCTGTTTTTTTGTGCACTTATGTTTGTGAGTATTCTGATCAATACAAAAAGCCTCCTGAAATTTGCTTTTGTGTTCGAACAGCAGTGTCTGTAGTTGTAGGCTTATCATCTCGGTACTGGAGTGTGACAGGAGGCAATGCATATGCACCACACCAAATCCTAGATTGTAGTAAAGCCTGTAACAAAAGATCACTGCGGCTATTAATGTTTTTATTTTTTTTAAGTGACTTATTGCAATACTCCTGAAGACTGTAAAATAAATGTTACGTTTCACACCTTTTAAAATCTTTGGTATCTGCCTCACAGAATTAATTCTGAAGAAAATTTAAAAGCTGTGTGTGCCAGCAAATTTTTTTTATACCGCTTGACTGTCATAGATTTCAAAGCCACAAGTGACCGTTTGTGGTCATCTAGTCCGACCTGCTGTATAACACAGGCCATAGAACTTCTACAAAATGATTCCTAGAACAGGTCTTTTAGGAGATTGTTTAAATCTTGATTTAAAATGGTCAGTGATGGAGAATCTACAACGACCTTTGGTAAGTTGTTTCAATGGTTAATTACGCTCACGGTCAAAAATGTATGCCTGATTTCCAGTCTGAATTTGTCTAGCTGCAGTTTTCAGCCATTGGATCATGTTACACCAGGGGTTCTCAAACTGGGGGTCCTGACCCCTCAGGGAGTCGCAAGGTGGTTACATGGGGGTCCCGAGCTGTCAGCTCCATGGGGCTGTCAGCCCCAAGCCACCATTAAATTAAATTCCTCCCTTTACTCCCCCCCGGTTTTTAATTTATAAGTGGGGAGCACACTCACAAGCTTGCTGTGCGAAAGGGATCACCAATACAAAAAGTTTGAAAACAAGTGTGTTATACCTTTCTCTGCTGGATTGAAGAGCCAGTATTAAATATTGGTTCCCCATGTAGGTACATATAGACTATGATCAAGTCACCCCTTAACCTTCTCTTTGTTAAGCTAAATAGATTGAGCTTTTTGAGTCTGTCACTAAGGCAGGTTTTCTAATCCTTTAATCATTCTCCTGGCTCTTCTCAACACCCTCTCCAATTTATCAACATCTTTCTTGAATTGTGGGCACCAGAACTAGACACAGTATTCCATCAGTGGTCACACCAGTGCCAAATAGAGTGGTAAAATAACCTCTCTGCTCCTATGCAAGATTAACCTGCTTATGCATCCCAGAATTGCATTAGCTCTTTTGGCCACAGCATCACACTGGGAGCTCACGTTCAGCTGATTATCCACCACAACCCCCAAATCGTTTTCAGAGTCACTGCCTCCCAGGATAGAGTCCTCCATTCTGCAAGTATGGCCTATATTCTTTGATCCTAGATGTATGCACTGACATTTAGCGGTATTAAAACTCATATTGTTTATTTGTGCCCAGGATACAAAGCGATCTAAGTCACTCTGTATCAGTGACTTGTCTTGATTATTTACCACTCCCCCAACTTTTGTGTCATCTTTATCCGTGATGATTTTATATTTTCTTCCAGGTCACTGATAAAATGTTAAATTAGCATAGGGCCAAGAACTGATCCCTGTTGGACCCCACTGGAAACACACCTGCCCAATGACTATTCCCTGTTTGTTTACATTTGAGATCTATCAGTTAGCCAGTTGTTAATCCATTTAATGTGGCATGTTAATTTTATATCTTTCAAGTTTTTAATCAAAATGTCATGCAGGGCCAGGTCAAACGCCTTACAGTAGTCTAAGTGTATTACATCAACACTGTTACCTTTATCAACCAACCTTGTAATCTCGTCAAAAAAAGACATTAAATTAGTTTGGCAGGACCTGTTTTGCGTAAATCCATGTAACTAATGCAAATCAACATTACCCTCCTTTAACTCTTTATTAATCGAGTCCTTTATCAGTCACTCCATTATCTTTCCTGGGATTGATGTCAGACCAACTTGCCTCTAATTACCCAGGTCATCCCATTTATCCTTTTAAAAAAATTGACACAACATTAGTTTCTTCCAGTCTCCTGGAACTTCCCCAGTGCGCTGAGACTTATTGAAAATCAACATTAATGGTCCAGCAAGCTCCTCAGCCATCTCTTTTAAAACGCTTGCATGCGAGTTATCTGGACCTGGTGATTAAAAATGTCTAATTTCCTCCTGAGATATTAGTGGAGTGAAAAGAGTAGTGTCATCACCATCTGATTAGACTAATAATCAGTTTTTTCACCAAATACAGAACAGAAATATTTTTGAACACTCCCGTCTTTTCTGCATTACTCATAATTCTACCATTTCCAACTAGCAGAGGACCAATATCATTCTCAGGATTCTTTTTTTGCCAACTATATTTAAAAAAATTCTTCTAATTGTCCTTAACTCTGCTGGTCATACATTTCTCCTTGTGGCCTTTTACTTCCCTTATCAATTTTCTACAATTCCTAACTTCTGATTTATATTCATTACTATCAACTTCCCCTTTCATCCGTTTGCTATAAACCAAGTTGTTTTTTTAACCAGCACAGTCTTCTTCCTTGACTGTGGCTTTTTAGGCATCTAGTAAGGTGTTCTTAACTCTGCTGTTTGATGGGATTTAGTCTCCTATTGCTACTTGACGTATGCATGTAACTAATATCAACATTAATGGGACAAATGTTCAAGGAGGGATAAGACCACTACATGTTTGAATAACATCAATAGAAGTAGAAATGTCTTTCATTTTTGAACTTGTAGTAGACTGTGTGTCTGTATTCCCTGGCAGTGTAAGAATTCTGGTATAAGGCATGTAGATCAGTGGTTTTCAAACTGCGGGTCGCGACCCAGTACTGAGTCACAGAATGTAAGGCACTGGGTTGCAAAGGCTCTGGTCAGCACCGCTGACCGAGCTGTTAAAAGTCCTGTCGGTGGTGCTTCCTGGCTAAGGCAGGCTACTCCTTACCGGTTCTGACATCGCACTGTGCCCCAGAAGTGGCCAGCAGCAGGTCTGGCTCCTAGGCGGGGGGCCACGGGGCTCTGCACGCTGCTCTCGCCCTGAGCACTGGCTCCACACTCCCATTGGCTGGGAACCGGCCAATGGGAGCTGTGGGGGGGGGGGTGTGGCTGCAGGCGAGAGCCATGTGGAGCTGCTTGCGCGCCTCCGCCTAGGAGCCGGACCTGCTGCTGCCCACTTCCGGGGCACAGAGCGGTCCGCGGTGCCAGGACAGGCAGGAAGCCTGCTTTAGCACCCCCGCTGTGCTGCTGACCAGGAGCCACCCGAGGTACGCCTGTGCCCCAACCCTGTGCCCCCCCCAAACCCGGAGCCCCTTCCTGCACCCCAAGTCCCTCATCCCTGGCCCCACCCCAGAGCCTGCACCCCCAGCCCAGAGCCCTGCCCCCCTCACGCACCCCAACCCTCTGCCCCAGCCCAGAGCCCCCTCCCACACTCTAAACTCCTCATTCCCGGCCCCACCCCGCAGCTCTCACCCCCACTCCCAAACACCTCATCCCCAGCTCCGTTGGGTCGCGGGCATCAACAATTTTCTTCAACTGGGTCGCCAGAAAAAAAGTTTGAAAACCACTGATCTAGATGTACTAATGCTGCTCTCAGAAGAAAGTAATCAGTTCAGCTATGCTTCCTGTCCGTTCCCAAATTATGGGATAATCCCTTAGCTGCACTGTAGTTATGATTAGAGCAGAATTTTATTTTAGAGATGATTTTTCATTGTGCCCTAAATCTACATGCAAAGTCACATTGGCTTTACAATTTCAATGCCAGTAAAAGGTCTTGGCTTAAGTTTGTGTTAATTTGGGGTTGTTTGGGAGATATAGCCCTCCCCACTCCCACCAAATGACCTGCTTTTAATTTTTTCTGGTGTTTTTTCCCCCCATGTACCTGAGGAGAACTGTGGCTACGATCCACATAAAACTGGTATCTCAGGACTTCCCTAGCCCCATGGTAGTTAAATGCAAAAAGTAGTGTAAAAGCAACTTGAAAGCTGTTGGGTAACATACTAGAATACTCAAGATGTTCAAAGGGTTAAGAGTTGTTCACACAGTGCTAACTCTGCTACAGGTCTTCAGTCACAAGTTAGTGTTGCCCACAGAGTTTTACCTCATGGAATTTTGACTTTTGTATCTTGAACACTAGATTTTTGCATTTAAAGGTATATTTAATTGCATAATTAAATGTAAAAGCTGTAATTCAAGCGTACGCTTTATATTTTTAACTATATTTTAATAAATAACGCCCCTTATTTCTGAGTGTTTAGCACTTGGCAGTTACTCTTTGTTTTCTTGTGCATGTTAGAACCCATTGCTGCACTATTAACAGTGACACAGAAGAGAGTTTGCAGGACTTCGGTCAGCAAGCGTACCAGCTGATGTCTGCAGTGAAGGCCTTAGACGAGAAGTTTGGAACTAGAGTTCCGGTTATGTTTCTCCGAGGATCTGTAAGTGTGGTTAAAATTCCTTGTGTATTTTTGGGGTGGAGGGATAGCATTCCTGTGATAACACCCCCCTTCCTGCTCCCAGAAACAACACACACGTTTCACTTAATAGTACCTCTCTCCCCAACCCCAGCAAAGGCCAGTCTTACAGTGTAGTGAGCCTTCCTCTAGAGAGAGGCTGAACAGACTAATTCAGTAGCACTGGTGTGTTAGCCCTGGAGCTGCTCTTTATTATTATGATGGATTATTTGTATTGCAGCAGTGTCTATAGACCAGGGCCCTTACTGTGTACAATGAATAAGTTGATGGTCTCTGCCCAAAAGAGTTCACGATTTTAGGCTCCTTTTTCTAAAGGTTAAACATTCAACATCCCCAGCCCTTTCTGGCCTAAGAGCTTGGGTCCAAACTAAGATCCTGTACTTAGCAGTATATTGAGCTGCCTCTAAATCTCTAGACTGTCTCTTTCTGGATTGTTTACAGTCAACTTTTGAACAAGTGGCAGTAAGCTCGAATACTGGAGGGTTATCGAAACTTTTCCACTACCTGTGAACATTTTACCTGCAATTTAATCTCTTGTATTGTTTATAGCAACTGAAATACTTTTCTAATGGGAGGAGGTATTCCTCTCTCCATACAGGTGTGTAACTTCCATTAACACTAAAAGGGGTTGCTTGTTTACAGTGAAGGGTAGAATACATCTTTCTGTTCTCTAAATTTCAAAGTAGCTAGCCTGTTGACTGATGATTGAGTAGAGTAGAAGATTATGCTTGTGTTAATGAGCACTTTTGTCTTGCTGACTTAATCTGGTGGATGGGGTTGAAGCAAAGCGCATTGAATGATTTATACAGATCTTTACATGTAAAGGCTTTTTAAACATTATGGGGAAAATAATCACTGAAGAATGAAATATGAAGACAGTCACAAAACAAACATTTTGAAAAAGTGTGTGTTTTTAGCTTGGAAGAAAATTGCTTGTTAATAGTAGGGAAATACTTGATTAAATTTTTCCCTTTATTAGGAATAACTCATGTTAAAAACTTGGCATTGATATATTTAATAAAATATCCGGATCACAGTTTATATGCCTCTGTTTTTGTTTTGTTTTGTTTTTTAAGTTAGAAGGCTTTATAATGTGAAAGTTGCAGGCTACCCCAAACAGCAATGTAAATGGTAATGAAAATTATCTCCAGCTGTAAACCTCAGCTCAACTGCTGTCTATAATGTTTCTATTTTTTGTAAAAGGTGTTTGTAAGACTTTGAAAGTTGTATAATAAGGCTAAATATTCTAGGAAATAACCCATCCTTATCACCATAAGATATCTAAATACTTTAAAAGGTTTGTGTGAAGTTCATGAAGAATTGTGTTGGCTTGGATTTTATTTAACCTAGCAGTGTCTTTTCATAACAAATAGGTACAGGTGGGCTCCTAGACAGACTTCAGGTGGGTCACAAGAGAGATCAGATTTCACCTATTATTTGAAAACTGAGTCAGCATACGGTACTGAACAAGTCCTCCAGGGAAGCTTCAAATTAAGAAGTTGCCTTGACTGAAATTTTATACCACCGCTGCTAGAAAAATATGCAACTTTAGAACATGACCACATTAATCAACTGAAATAATGTGGGTACTTTTTTATTGTGAGATACTCTAGGCTCCAAAATCTTTGTGGCCACTCATGTGAATACCTTTTAGTCATAATTCTAATATTTAATAATATCTAAGATGTTAGTCATTGTTTCAGCTAATTACAGTTGAAATACTGTTAGTCCTATTTATATGGCAATATCTTGTAAAACTCTAGTTGAAAAATTCATTGTATTACACATTTTTATGTATTTTAAATGTAAGTATTGTTTTCAGTGCGCACTTCCTGAAAGTAAATATTGCACATTACATATCATTACAATATATATTTTAGAGAATAATTTATATGCTATAGTACCTGTAAATAAAATACCATTCTTTTTAAACTTCAAAAATCCATAAATGAAAAAGTTTAAATGAAGGCATTACAAAAACAAAATCAGGAACACAAATGTCCATGATTCATTCCAATTTTGCAAACAAATTTTGAATCTGCAGATCAACAGCCAGATTTCCAGTATGTTTTATACATATGAATTGTATCAAATATAAGAGATAAAGAACTAGCAAGAATCAGCAAGAAAAAAGAATTGAATGAAGGTATCTCAATGTGACAATATGAAAGACTGGCAAAAAGAAGTATAAAACACACGTTTCAGTGATCTCAGCAGCATCACATAAATGTGGTGCTCCGTGCAGTTACCTAATTCACTATTTATTAAGTGTCCCTTTTCCCCAGAAATTGTTCAAGGTCCTTTTCAGTCCTAAGTTTCTCTGATTCTGTGACTTCTGCTGTCTGGTGTTTGAGTTCCACTGGAACTCCACTCCTCGGTCAGCACATGTGCCTTTAAGCAAGGCCACTTTCATCTCTTTTGTGGCTAATCTCAGATTAGGACAGATGAGTTCTCAATTTTTGACAGAGTGCTTAATGGAGCAAGCTGCTCCTGGAATACAATCTCTCTCCTGGGGACCAGATAGGGAAATCAGGAATGTGTCTCATGTTGTTTGATAGTCCTGTGATTTTATGTATGTATGCATTTACAGATTTTTTTTTGTTTGCTTAACTTTTATAAAAATGCTCCCGGTTTTCCTTCTGGGCACATATACAACCATTTAAAAACTGAAACAACCAATAGACCAAAGGTCAACCCTCGGAAGAACTACTCTGTCTCCATTGAGAATATTCTGCTTCCAGTGCCTCAAGGTTCAAATCTGGGGACAGCACAAATGTCTGAACTGTCTGAAGATGCTCCAATACTTCTGTTAGTCTATAAGGTGCCACAGGACTCTTTGTCGCTTTTGTCTGAAGATGTTGCATTGGGGGAGAGAGTCTGTGAGGTATCTGAAACACATACCCTAGAGGGCTTTTGTAGATAAAAGTCAGCGCCTTGCATTGTACCCAGAAGCAAATAGGTAGGTGGACAGTACAGTTTGCAGAGCGCAGGTGAGATCTGCTGCACATGGCAGCGATCACTAAATAAGCAGGTATGTGCATGCAGTCTGCCATGGCTGAAGGTAGTCAAGATGCAAGTAGGCTCGTTGAAGTAGTTCAGTTTGGATGTCAAAGGCATGAATGACCGTGGTGCAGACATATTGCAGAGGAAGTGCCTTTCTCCTTTTCTGTCTCTAGTGCAGGAACTGGCACATGTCACCCACAGAGTCCTTAGTCTGTGATACTCCCCTTTGTCAATTCTGCCCTCCACACAACTAGCCTTTGACTCAGTCTCTTGGAGAGTGGAATGACGCTACTTCCTAGAGACCTGGTGCGCCATCATCTTAACCATCACAGACCACTAGGTCTGCTCTTAGCCTGCACTCATCCCAGATACAGATGATAGCAGGAAGGAATAGGGGCTAACAAGGAGTGGGAGACCCTAGCCTGTACCAGGAAATGTCACCTCCTTTCTCGATCACTGTGGACAACACCAGCATCCTGCCTGTCACTCAGACCTGTAACCTGGGTGCCATCTTCAATTCAGACCACTCTAGATCTTCACATCTGGGATATGTCTAAATCTTGCCTATTGTTTCTGCATAACAGGTCTAAGATATGGCCTTTCCTGTCCATCCGCACAGCTAAACTCTCAGCCAAGCTCCCATCATCTCACATCTTGATTACTGCAGCATCTTTCTCTCGGGCCTTGACAAATGCTGTCTCGATACATTGAGAATGCTGCTGCATGGATCATTTTCCTGGCCCATCACTTTGACCAAGTCACTTCTCTCTTGGAATCCCTCCACTGGCTCTCCCTTCTCTATCGCATCGAACATAAGCTGCGTGGCTTCACTTTCACGGCCCTTCGCACCCTATTGCCCCTGACCTAGTATCTCATATTGACGATCAGGGTGTTGACAACAGCTTCCAGTTGGGCCATGATGTCAGCTTCTATCATCCACTGGTTAAGTTTTCAAACAAGCGCCTTCATGCTTCCTCCCATGCTGACCATCATGCTTGGGAAGAGCTACCTCATTATCCACCTTCAAACCCTCCTTAAACCTCTCCTCAGGTGTGCTGCCTACAAACCCCGCCCCACCCATCCCCAGTTTGGCTGCTGGCTTGCTGAGGCCACAGCCAGTGGGTCTAGTGCCCCCAGAGTGTGCTATGTAGCATCTCCCCTGCACCGTTCTGGGTCCAGAAGGGCGGCCCCTGCTGGGCCTCATTTTACTCTGTCCCCCCCTCCCCCCCCAGTGCAGCAGTCCCTGTTTTGGCTGCTTCTGCCCCTACCACCTGGAGTCTCTGACTGGCTCTTCTCTGCAGTCCACCCAAGGGGAGGAGGGAAGAGGGATGCAACCTGGGTCCTTGTGCTTTCAGAATTGGGGATCTTCTCTGTACTAGGTTCAGGAGATGCTAGAGGGAGTGGTGGCCCTGGATCCTATCAGACGAGCAAATTGTGGCCACAGTCCTTAGGCAGTCTTGGCAGAAGGCCCCGAAGTGGAATGAATAGGCACAGAGGAAAGTACCCTGTCGTCACTCCAAGTGACAGCAGTGAGGTACATTGGCGTGGCCCTTGCTCTAACAACGAACAAAGGGAAGGATTCAGATTCAACAGTTTCAAATTCAGCCATTTTTAATGGGTATTAAATGACTCTGCCAAATATATTGTCATGTTTGGAGGGGTTCTCCCATAGTTCTGGCATTTTCAGTCTTCTTCAGCTTTCAGTTCCTCATTTTAGTAATGATGGCTTATATTCGTACAGGACTGCATGACTATTTCTGTGCTTTACCAGTTATGGTGGAGTAGTTTTTCTAGGAATTGAGGAGTCTGACCAAAATGTTTGAATGATTTCAGAATTCCCAGCGTCTCCCAGACAAGTACCGAACTCACGCTCTCTTTGGTAGTGGAAAGGACTGGCCAGAGAATTGGTGGAAGGCTTTGGGCCGACAGCTCCTCATTGAAGGTTTCCTTAAAGAAGTTTCTGGTAAAAGCAGATTTGCAACTCTGTGTGAGCTGACTAAGAAGGTAATCTTGTTGTAAAACCTTCCTGTCAGAGGTTTCTTTTGGGAATGTAAAGTTGAGTGACTTGGTCTGTATCCCACAGGGTAGAGACTGGCTCTGTAAAGCTAGGAGTGAGTTGTGTCGGACCCTTCTGCTACAGTCCAGTGAAGAACTATATCTAAGGAAACCTCACACCCAAAGGTAACTACAGCCATATATATTATGCATGTGTCACTTTTATGTTGGGAGAACAAATTTGTGAATCCCGCTACTGGAGACTGCCTGCGCCAAGGATGAGGTTTCTGCACTAAGGTTTTTTTTGTGGGGTGGGGAGGGCGTGTCTCTTGGGCACAGTCTTGCTTGCATAAGAGGGACTACACTCCTCAGAATCAATGGTATCAATGGTTCCCTCCTCCTTGGGGACTACCCCAGTTTCCATATTACCTGTCACACTGGCCTTACTGGGGCTATGGGATCCATATATGTGACATCCCAAATCTCTGTGATCCCACTGAGAGTCTAGACAGCCCTCTCCATGCAGAGAATATCATGAACCTCCTCAAGAACTAATGGAGGAAGAGGAGGAACCATAACATGTGGATCCACCAGCTCCAACAGGATTGTCATCTTCATCGCCAGACAAGGAGTTGCATTGGCTTCACCGTCACCCCCTGATGACTACAAGCAATTTCAAAATCTTCTGAGGAGGGTCACACACCAGTTACCCTTCTTTGCATTCTGAAACCATCCTCTCCCCAGGTGTATTTTGAAATGTCAGCCTTCATGTCAGAGTGGTTATTTTTGTATATGTTTTGAATACATTTGAATTCATTTTCTTACAGCAATAGACAGATAACTTCAGTTGCAGGATCACATTCACCAGATACAAGGTCAATAAAGCTGACACCAGAGAAACAGGTCTGTATTTGAGAAAAATATTACTCATCATACACTTCATTATTCTTTTTAGTGACTGGCAAGTGAGCTAACAGATCAGTATATCTAGCTATAAAGTCTTCTCTACATATTTGAAAGCTTAAGATGCACAGTAAAGCAGCACAGAATATAGGATTTACAAATCATTTGTATGATAGTTGTGTGGTGAACAAAATAATTGGTACACTGAACACATTAATGTGTGAAAGTGAAGTGTAGTATTAACACCCAAATATGCACTACCTACTTCACAAAAGACATGGAAAATCACAATCCCTTCCTCGGGATTTTGTAATCTAAATGTTTACAGATGACATGGAATGAGGGAATGAGAAACAGCAGTAACACTGTCTATAGTGCAATCTCAGCCATAACTCTGGATTAAGTTATTTATCTGGGATTAAACTAAATGTAAAGACCGCCACTACAGTTTCTAAGGGGTTTCAGAAAATGGGGTGAAACTCCAATGCCTACATTAGTGCAAGGGGCTGAGAGGGAACCTTAATTCTAAATTTGTTAGATTTTTCTCAGTTTTTCTTAACATGAACATATTTTACCATAGTGACTTGTTTATATAAAGTGTTTGTTCCTTGATTCTGTAAATTGTTGTTTTATTACAATTTCCTCTTATACTGTGACTAAGGTTAGAAACTTTAAATCTGTTTTCTAATGAGAATCAACATACTGTAACACACATCTGCTTTTTACTCATGTATGGTGTATATTTGTAATAATGTACTAGAGGGACGCCAGGTACCAAGAGGAAAGAATTTTTCCGTTATGCAACAGACTGTAGTGTGTTTTGAAAAAAATCGATCCCTTTCTTCACTGAATATCTTTTAAACAAATGGGTATAAAAATGTAAATGAATATTTTACTGTTAATATTTGTATGGGGAAAAATGTGGATACCTTCTTTGATTTTCTGACTTTTTTTTTTTTTATTTTAAACAGACCTATTTGCAGGAAATGTTTTCTTATCAAGGAACAAGTAAAATTTCTACAAGAGGCAATGTCTCAAATGAAAGGTACAATGGACTAAATTATTTCTACTCATATCTCTTTCTCTACTTATTCATTCTTTCCTGTGTTGTGAAGGTGGTATCTGTAGAGCAACTGTCAGAGAAGAAAGTAAGTCTGTTTGTGGTGTAAACTTAACTTTTTGTTTCAATGTCTCAAATCATTAGTGTGAAAATAAGTGCAGTACGGATTCCAGACTTCATTTAACCTTTAAGAAACATGGCATAATCTGTCTGTCTGAAAGACTGGTAAAACAGCATTAAGAGAGCAAATAATTTTGATAGGTAAATTAGCTAAACACTTTTAATTTTGCCTCACATGACATGCTAAAATGTCACAAAATGTAAGTTAGGTTATGCGCTGAAGTAGGTAGGGTTACAGTGTGTTAAATGGCTCTTTAAAACATCCCACATTAATCTTAAAAAAGTGACTGTAAAATACTTCTATTGCTGATTACCTGAACTGAACCAGTAACTGAACATTTATATCATACAATTAAGTAGACCATAACTGTTCAAAAATCTTAACAGGCCTTGTTTTCTGCACAATACAAGTCCATGAGCCTTTTTAAATGCAGAGTTAATTAAGTCTGTTTTGGGTTTGATTTTAGGGGTGTGTTTAAACTCTAAAATTAAGACACATTTTCATTTGTTGATATTTTAAATCCAAATGCAAGGGAAATAAACATAACAAACATTAATTAAAAACCAGGCTATAAATAACTTTTATTTATTCCAGGTCACTTGGTTTTTGCTTAGTTTCTATTTTTTGATAACTTGGAAATGTGATACATTTTTTGGATGGATCAGGATAATATAAAATGTAAGAATCATTTATTTCTGCACACTTCACAACGGTGTGGCTGTCGTGGCCCAGACAGGCTGTTGTAAGGGGCGCAGTGTGGACATAGCCTAAATGGAGAAATTTAGCAGCATAGCTATACTGCTATAATTATACTGCTGTAGTTATACCAGGATAACTCCAGTATGGACTCTGTGTCTGTGCAGATGTGTTTTAATGCAAATGACAACTAGATAGGCTGAGACCACAGGTCTGGCTGGCTCAAATACACTAGGACTCCCAAACCTACCAATCTCAGCAGAGCAGAGCTGGTACAAAGTGAATTGATACATTGATCTAATAGGAATATGAATATCACGTTTTATTTTATTTTTAAATTTAATAGTGACCTGGTGCAGTCACCAATCAAACTGAAGTCCCCAGAACCTGCTGTTTCATCCAGAGAGAAGGAACTGCACGTAAGTCTATTAAACAGGGCATCTGCTTGTGTAAGAAATGCATTTAAATTGTGCTTGTGTACGTCTTACACATTCCTAGAGACCATTCCTTGTCCCTCCAAAATGTCAACCAGAGAAACTGCTGTTAAACTGGATTTTTCAGCTGTTACACTAAACTTTAGGAAGGTGCCTAGAACTGGAGTCCTTGATGATAATTAAACATGATGTGTGGATATGGTTTAGATTCTGACTGCTTATCTGTTTTATTTTTGGGCTGTAGTTTGCTTTCTCATGTAGCAGTTTTCTTCCCATACTTTAATCACGTCTAAGTCTTTGACTTAAAGTGTTCTTTAAAGTAATGTCTTACATGTATTCATACTTCGGCTTTGTTCTTTACAGACTGTTCTATATGGGAAGCTGCTGGCAGCCAGACAGAAGCTAGCCAGTGAGAAGGATATTCCTCCGGCTGTGTTGGCAACAAATAAAATACTGGTGGACATGGCCAAGATAAGGTAAAGTCTTCAGTTTGAAAACCACACGTAAGTCCAAAGATGTTCTGGAGTCTTACCCTCATTCCTTCAAGCCACGTTAGTAACAGAAAATGATGATGATGCATTACTTCTCATGTGCCATAGATTTTAGGTGTTTTACATAAACATATTGAGGAATTCTGTTTTTCCACATGCTTCCAGTTCAGTAACTTTCTGCATCAGCAGAATTACTAATCTGACTGAATTTTGAAGAAGAACTTTAATGGATTCTCATTTTGGTACATTGTTACTATCAAGAGGTGCAGGAAGAACTCCTCAAACTGAACGCTTCTGCTGTGTGTGTCTGAATTTTGTGATCACATAAGTTCTGAAAATGTATGTGTAAAGTTTATTAGCATTTTTAGTAGCACCAAAGATATTGTAGCTACCTCTATTCAACATGTGTATGGAGCTATGTGAACTCAGGTGTTATGCAGATAGAACAGCGTTGCAGTTATTGCTTATGTTGGTTTAGCTCTACCGGTGAAATTTGACTGCATGTATGAATTACTCTGTTACAATACTTGTTTCTGAAAGTATCTTGTCATGTCAACCTTTACCACCGCCAGTGATGTCTGCCTTCATAGTCCATTTATCAGCCTCTCCCACAAGCAAATTCATGCTTTCTTCCAAGCCACCGCTTATGCATGAAGCCTCTCCCTGAACTAAGCTGTAGAGCAGCTTCCTTCTTCAAGACCCACTTCTACCATGCTGCATATGGTAAATCGCCAAGTGGTAAAGACCAGGCAGGTGGCCAGCAAGGGCTGCGGGCATCGGACATACCCCTTGCTTGTAGCTTTGGGGAAAAACTAAAACCTGCAAATTTTGCTTGTATCCAGCCTTTGTAACCATGCCTTCCCGGCTGGCTGGAGAGGGGATGGGGGTGCAGGGGAAGCAGCAGTGTACCCTGCTCAAACCCTTCCTTCCCTGCTCCCTCTGCTTGTTCGTTTTATTAGCTTGTTGCATTTGTCTTCATTTGGATTGTATGATCTTCAGGACAGGGACTCTCTCTTACCCCGTCACCTGACCAGGGACTCTGTGCACTTCTGTACTACAAATGAATAATCAGGGTGTTAGAGTAAAAGTCTCCAGAAAGATAGAGAGAAGAAATGAAATTCCTTACATGATTCCTCACTATAAAAGCAAGTATTGTAAGACAACCCAGCCTATAACAACTGCAACTGGTTCTGCAGTGTGTTGCCTAATGCAAAGTCATAGGTGGCCCGCCGGTGTCCCTAAATAGGACTGACAGCATGAGGTGGAGAAGTTCTTTCACAGGGTCAAGATCCATGTTGATGGCTCCAGCTGCTGGGAGCATGCAGACACAAAATGGCTCAGCTGGATATGTTCGCCGGCAAAAACCATCAAAACACTTCTGCTCAATTCCTGTGGGATAGACAGACAAGTTCTCCCATAATGCACTATGATCCAAGCCATAGAGTGGCCACAGCTGGTGAGGGCACGAGGAACCCAGGTTATGACGGTATTCACCTACAGAAGCTGAAGTTGTGATTGGGTCTGTGTAGTGCAGTATGGCTGTGCCAGCACAGGGGTGAGGCTTGGGTTTCCTGTGCAGTATGGACACTCAAGTGCAGGCTTGGACACACCGAGTCTGCAGGTGCAGGTCACACAGACAGGTTTATTATGCTGTGTAAACAAACCCATAGAGTTTAAAGCCAGAAGGGACTTCCAGATCATCTGGTCAGATCTCCTGTATATCACAAGCCACCAATTCCACCTAGCAGCCTCTCACCAAACCCAACAATCAAAATTACACTAAAGATTTACAGTCCATAGGCGACGAGGCTGTAAAGTATCACCGGGAGAGAACAGGAGGGACTGAGGTGCACCAGTGCCTGAGGTCCCTGCAGTGGCAGGGAAACGATAGATGAGATTTACCCAGATAACCCGGGCAAGTGACCCTTATATCCACACGCTGCAGAGGAAGGTGAAACCCCCCCAAGGTCCCTGCCAGTCTGACCTGGGGAAGAGTCTTTCCTGACCCCACACATGGCAATCAGCTGGATCCTGAGTATGTGAGCAAGAACCAGCCAGCCGAGCCCCTGAGAGACTGAATGCTCGGTGCCACCTCAGAGCCCTGATTTTCCCTGTCCAGTGTCCTGTCTCCAGCCGTGGCCATCTCTGATGCTTCAGAGGAAGAAGATAAAAACAGAAAACCCAGAATACATTGTGGAGGGAATCCCTTTTTGACCCCTGCAAGTGGTTGAAGCCCAGTTTATAGCCAGTTTGCCATGACAGAACATAAAAAAAATACATTAGTCCTTAGTTGCAAAATAATGTATGTGCCAGAAAATATTAAGCACTAGCAAAAAGCCACACACTTCCTCCACAGATCTTTTTATAAGAACTTTGAAAAATAACATGACTAAAACTCAGACCGTGCCGTGATGGCAGAGTGATCACCTGTCAGTATAATCTGTGGTTAAAGTGGGGATTGTCATTCCTGTTCTGTTCTACACTCCATGTTCCAAAACATAAACCAGCAAAGCCTAGTAACTCTCCATTGTGTTCTTGTTCTACCCAAAATAGGCCTACGACTGTTGAAAATGTGAAGAGAATTGATGGCGTATCTGAAGCAAAATCTGCCATGTTGGTTCCTCTCCTGGATGATATCAAGGAGTTTTGCCATGCAAATAATCTGGAGGTAAGATTTTTCCCTCAGCAAGGCCTTCTGCTTCTCTGCTGGAGCCCTTGTGATCTACCTCACCTTGGGATTTACAAGTCCCATTTTTCAGGCTTTCTGGCATAGTCCCGGTCCTTCCTCCAGTTACAGGACAGGACTCTTGTTGTAGCCTGTGAACAGTCCTCCTGAATCACCTCAAGTTGCTGATATTGAGCAAAGCCCTCCTCTCACTCCTCCTCGGGGCTGATTGTGCTTCCTCTGCAGCAAGAAACTGCTGGGCCCGGGTAGTGGCATTCAGCTCGTCTGGTTGGTAGTGTGGAGGATGACAAGTAGACCAGAGAAAGTGTGCTTCTAAACAGGTTTCTTAAGAAGTTTTCAAAAGACAATACCTCCCCTCCTTTCATTTCTTCATGCCCTTGTTTTTCCCTTCATGTTCTCCTGTTTCCCATGTTCTTTCTCCCATCTCTTGTTAAGGATTCTTCCTTTCTCTTGCCCAATCTGTCTGTGGCGAAGTAGGCGCCCTCCTGAGACATGACCGTCTCATGTACATCATAGCTAAGCATCCTGTAGGTTACTCAAGGGGCTATCTTCATCACTCCTTGAATAACTGACAAGTGGCTACTGGGATGGGTGGGTAAGCTTGATCTCCCACACCCTGGGCTTGGCATGTCATGATTACAAGCTTCTCTGTGGCCGGGGGCGCTGGAACAATGTGTACAGTGGGGGTGCTGAGAGCCACTGAACCAAACTGTAAACCCTGTGTATGGGGGAAACCATATCAAGCCAGGGGGTGCGGCAGCACCCCTTGTTCCAGCACCTATGCCTGTAGCTGTTCATTTCTTCACATATGCAGTGGAAATCATTTTGATCCAGAAGTTCCAGGTTACGCAGTGCATAATGATACTGGATACGTTCTATATAAATACCTGTGGAACAGATTAACAGCCGTGGCTGGCCTGGAGAACAAGCAAAACACTGGGGTGTTGAGAGCCTCATCCCTAAGGTGGGGGGACTCTCATCTAAATCCCATGTAGGCCTTAGCAATTCAAGGCTTGGCTTGATCTCTCTATCTGGCGAAGGGACTAGAAAGTGAGGAAACACTTGGTCTAATCCCCCTCCTCCTGGCAGCTGTGGAGCAATAACACCTGCTGTGAGATGAGCCCTACAACAAAGTTTCTTTTAAATGGAACCTGCTAATGGCCACAGTCAGCATACTCGTGTGGTGCTGGTAACAAAGAAAGGAACTTCACTGTTACTTCCCCAAGAAGGAAGGTCAGATGGCAGCAGTGGAGAGGTTAGAAATTAATCCATGCTTGGGTACACCAACGTTCCTAGCCAGCCAGTTCTGGGAATGAAATCTTCTGAATATGGGATCAATGCACACATCTTGTTACACCTAGAGGAGGCCTGATTATTCACCAGTTCCCCAAGCTTGCTTTCCGTTCTTTTAGAAATCATATATAAACTCCCTAAAATAGTGCGTGGCAAGCATCCAGTTTTTCTTAAAATAGCTAGTAACTATGCAGCCTGTTTTTTAGGATCCATGGTAAATTGCAGACTGAGCTCTTTTGTCATCAGTGCTCTTTTTCAAAGTGGCTCGGTTTATATCCAATCAGCATTCCAGCTCTTGACTTGCAATGGCTCATATTTGAAAACAAGCAAAATGGGTTTTGTTAGCCATTGTTTTTTTGTTTGTTTTAAACAGTATTGATTTGTGGTGCTAAATGTGGACCAAAGCCTGCAGTTATTCACTCAGGCAAATCTTCCAGTAAAGGCAGACTGCAGGATGTGGCCCTAAACATAGTGGCTGGCAAATCTGTAGCGGAAAGAAATGGATATTTTTAATTATAGGGAGGACTGCAGAAGTCCTGGGGCAGTGCTGTTTGCATCTGATCTTAAATGTAGGCGGTTCCCGTCCACACACACAGACACAAACACCATCACTGAACTCCTGTCAGTGTCCCTCTTGAGTCCTAGGACCCGTCTCAGATGTAGCTTGTGCTGGTGTCTTTCTTCACTCAGGTTTCCTTGCTGAGCTGATTGAATTCCTGTCTGGTTTGGTGCTTCAGCCACTGAGCTGATTGTCCTCAGTGTCTTGAATGTCCTTTCAAAAAATAACTGGTCTGGATGGGTCCATTATTTCATTGCTGCCATGACAACCATGGGACTGTTTCAGATGTTTCTGGCTCAGCACACAAAGCTGGTTACATCCCAGATTTGATATTTGGGTTGGGGTTGAAGACTGAGACATATGGAATTCGCCTTTGTCAGGGTCAGACTATTGCCTGTCCTGGTTTGAGGGCAGGACTCCTCTTTGCTTCCCATTTTATTGGTCCATCTTGGGAGACAGGTGGACCTGACTGTTCTGAAGGATGCTTTAGCCAGTGGGACCCACTCTTTCAATACTCTCATTGAACCTTGTGATTCCCTTCTTGTGGCCTAGTGCACAGAGCACTGGACTTAGATTTGGGAGGGCAGAGGTCTGTTCCCAGCTCTGTTGCTGATCCGCTGTGACTTTGGACAAGTCATTTCACTGCTCCATGCCTCAGTTTTGTGAACTGTAAAATGGGGATAATGATACCGACGTTCTTTGTGAAGTGCTTTGGGGATCTAATGACGAAAAGCGCTAGATATAGAGCTAGATATTATTCTGTCCATTACTATCCATATGGTGGCACCCTGTCCCAGTGTGCTTTCTTCGCGTGTCATTGTGGCGACAGACGAAGCACAGGGGAGCTTCTGTGCTGCCAGTGGCAGAAATCATGTTCTGAGTTTTTGCACTCTTATGCTACCCTAGAGGTGAAAGGATTCTTCTTCTCCACTCTAGCGTCTGCAGAGTCCCAACCAGCAGATACGTCCAGGCAGGAAGAGTGCCTGCTGAATTGTCTGTGGTTGGGTAGAGATGAGTGTTTCTCACTGTTGTGAGGAGTTTTCTCTCTGCTTCACAGATCAGGTTGCTGGGATGCAGGCTGTCTTGGCCCCTTCGGTGGAGGCAGAACTGTGTGCGTGTGGCGTGAGGTTGGGAGAAGGAGTCTTGTCAAGTTTTTTTTAAAAAATTCTTAACTCAGAACACACAAAAACACGTATTTATTTAAAAATAAAAGATTACTCTGCATTACTGTATTACAGTACATATGAGTATCAAACTCTTTTAACAGTGTAGTGGTGGGAGGGATAGCTCAGTGGTTTGAGCATTGGCCGGCTAAACCCAGGGTTGTGAGTTCAATCCTTGAGGGGGGCCATTTAGGGATCTGGGGCAAAAATCTGTCTGGGGATTGGTCCTGCTCTGAGCAGGGGGTTGGACTAGATGACCTCCTGAGGACCCTTCCAACCCTGATATTCTATGATTCTATGATTCTAATTCAGAAACTTACAAACCAGCCCGGTGTGTGTCAGTCCAGACACCAGTTATTTTGTGACTCCTCAGGTATGTTAAGCAGACTATCCTATAGCTTGCTTCAGCACACCTGTGTGTGTGTGTGCGTGTGCATATGAATTATAAGCACCATCTTGGGATTGTTCTACTGTTTGTGTGGAACACAGTCTGACTGTACAGTTTAGTTTGCTCAAAGTCTAGCTCTTCCATTTCCAATTCCAGAGCAGATGACCCGACAGGATGATTTCTTGGGCTTTATTCCTGCTAACTCTTGTTTGTCACCTTACAGATAGACACATTCCCTACTTGTGGATCTAGGGAAAAGCAGCCAGCAGTCCTCCAGAAGAGAGGTGGGTGCAGCCCCCTTCCACAGTCACAGCTCATAACATACATGCTGTTCCATGAGAAGAACCAGTCTTTGGTAAGTTATTTCCCATTGGTGGGGATGTGGATATGCTGGTTGTCTGTCTAAAGTAGGTGGTGGGAATATTGTATGTATGGGGATTGCAAACTTGTTAAAACATGAGACTTGAGGGCTAGACTGAGTAAGTTGCTGCTGTTCTCTTACATTCTTCCTATGCTGCCAATGAGCCGCAGGCTGGTGAGTGCCATGTCCCTGTTCTGGATATAAAAAATCAAACCCTTTGCATTGTACCTCCATGTAAGAGTCGAATGGCCTGAAAAAAGCCCCACAGGAAAATTCAGTGCAAAATTGAAAGACGAAATATCAGTGCAACTTTCTGATTGAGACTTCCAAAGCTGTGACTCTTTCTGCACCCTGATCTCAGCCATGTTACTCACATCTGCTAAGACAGGCACTTGGGAGTTGGTAGTGCACAAAATACTTTATTTGCACAGTTCTGGGAACTGTGACTTGGAATTACCTTTTGTGCATTTAAGGGCAAATCTGCCCTTGCAGCAGAGAAAGGTCCCCAGGCATCAACCCAAGTGTAGTTCTTCTATCCAAGAGAGAAGATTTGGAGGTCTGCTCACCAGGTAGGCACCTCTCTGTAGTTCATACAAGGGGTGGACAGAGAGAAGTTAAGAGTTTAAATGGAGAAGATTAATTATTTGGGCAGCGGATAGGAATGTTGACCTAGATTCAGCCCTTACACAACTGGCTTTGGAACACTTGGTACACTTAAAAACAATGGGTTTGTTTCTCTTGATTAAAGTCCACCTATCAGCAATAGCAGCAGTATATACTCATGTAAAGGTTAAAGCCACCTTCTCATACAGTCTGGTGAAAAACTTTTTAAAAAGTTTATTGAATCCATATTCCCCAGTTCATGACCCGGTCCCTCCATGGAATTTGAATTTAGTACTAATATACCTATATCTTCCCCGTTTGAGCCTCTACGGGATTGTTCTCTGTTTCATCTTTCTATAAAGACAGCTTTTCATAATAGCAATTTCTTCCACTAGAAGAATTAGTGAGTTGTATGCATTGATGGCAGACCACCCTCCTCAGAGTTCTTTTCATAAAGATAAAGTGATCTTAGACCACATCCTAAATTCCTTCCAAGGCAGTGTCGGAGTTCCGTATACATCCGAGTATAAATTTACCTGCATTTTTCCCCTAAACCTAATTCGCGTAAAGGGGAGTCTAGATTACGTTGCTTACAAGAGCGCTCTTAGCTTATATTACTTGAATAGAATGAAGAACTTCATGTCTTCGTCCAAGTTATTTGTTTCATTTGCTGGTACTTCTAAGGGTCAGGCCATTCAGCACAGTCCCTATCCAGATGGGTTAGACTTTGTATTGAGGAATTTTACCAAAAAGCTTCCCTTTCTCCTTCTGGTCCTCTTAGAACCCATTCTATTAGAAGGGCAGGTACATCTGTAGCAGTCTCCAAACATATTCCTCATATTGAAATATGCAGGGCTGCTCCATGGAGTTCAAGTCACACTTTTACAAGACATTATGCATTGGATCTGGCATCCAGCTCTGAAGCATAGTTTGGCAGAGTGGTCCTTCAGTCATTATTTAATTAAAACTCCGCTCCCTTCTTCCTTATTTACAGTACTGCTTGTCAAACTATCCCAAGAGTGGGAATGTACAGAGGACACTCGAAGAAGTAGTGAAGGTTGGGTGTTTGTAATCGGAATTCTTTGAGGTGTACTCTTCATATTCACACTCCCCACCTGCGTTCCTTGCTCCTGCGGTGTCCTAATGTCACTGTTACTTGGTATTCCACTGTAGTAGTTGGAAGGAACTGAGAGGACAGTAGCGCCAAGACCCCCTTTTATAGCCACATCCACAGAACGCGCCCCAATGCTGGGGGTGGGGGAGGGATGTGCACTGACATGCACTGCTGGTAGAAGGTGGCACCGTCCTGGCTGCTCCCAGTCAGTGCATCGCAGAAGTGAACATGCAAGAGTCTATCTCAAAGAACTCCACTTACAAATAGCTAACCTTCATTTCCTAATCATAACGTGACCTTAACATGGGGCTTTGCATTGAACTCTTTATTAATTTGTTGTGTAGGCAGAGAGCCATAACACACTGGGAGAAATAGGCATGTTGCTTTGTGCCCTTCGAAGGCGTGTTCCATAATCCATTGCTTTTATATCTTTTTTGTTAAGCTTCTCACTTTTTATCGCTCGTTGCTCCGTTAGTATGATGCTGAAATAGCTTCAAGCTTCTCTTGTCCCTCCCAAGAGTGCGTGAGTGAACCTTGTCAGATAGTCGCTAAACTAAAATGCCCAAGGACTAATTAACGAGAAGCAATAGAACAATTAGTGTTAGGTAATTTGATGCCCAGGATCAAATAACCATGATTATTGCATTTCCCCTGTGTGTATTGTCTGGGGGAAAGTCAATAAAAGAAACATAAAGCCTAATTCTTTCAGGGAAAATAATTAATTTTAAATCCATCCTGTAAAAAAATCCAACTCTAGTTAAGCAAAATCAAAGAGGTTGCCCTAAGATTGTGGTAATGGAGTCCACCTAAAAGAACTTGAAATACTCACCTTTTGTTTGTCGTTTCTATTCCGGTGGTGCCAACAGACACATGAGGAGTCAGTGAGGGTTGCTGCGTTTACAGATCTCTTGCAGTTAAGGTGTAGATAATTGGCTGCTATATTGGGGGACGTTTTGGGCTTTAACAAACCGAACATTACAAGTGAGCTGAGCTGATTATACAGTTACAGCTACTAGGTTGTCATTAAACTGTCTTTCCATCACCAATGAAGTCCTGTAGCCCCGGAAATAGCTGTGGAAGGCCCCATATGCGGTGAAAATATGATTCCGTTTGCATGGTGCAGACTGCCATGCTCAGGGATTGATCCGCTTCTTCCAGGTAGCAGAGCAGAGCTTGGTGATGGCTGTCTCCATAGCAGTGTAGGGGCGATTGTGAGCAGGCCAGAGATATAGCGCAAACCATGGAGATGCAGTGGCCCAATGTAGCATGTAGGTCCTGGCAACAGCTCATTGTCTCTTTTTGCTCTAGCCCCATGACAGTGTAGTAGCGAGTCTGGAGCTCTATGGCCACTGCTAGAGGATGGAGCTCTGGGTTCTGCTCCTTAGACATTTGAATGCAGAGCAGAATCCTTTCTATGCGTGGGATTTCAGGGTCACAGTGAGAAGTTGCTCTCCAAGCCAGAAATAATCTTTCGAAATGAAACCTCTTTACAAATTGGATTCAGTGTCTGAAAGAGATCAGAAAAATGTGCCTTGTGATGTGGTTTGGAGTTCTTGTTGTGTAGTCGAATGTGATGGTCTCCTGTTCTTGCTGTTGTCTTGTGAAGCAGCAGCACCTTGCATTATCATTTATTATTTGTATTACCATGGTGCCTTGGAGACCCTGTCACAGACCACGACTCCACTGTGTTAGGGGCTGTACAAACAGAACAACAAGACAATCCCTGCCCTAAAGAGCATCTCGGAGCAATCTAAGCATAAAAGAAGAAACAACAGATGAATACAGACAGGCAGGGAGAGTACAAGAAAACATCAAGACATGACAGGCAGTGGTCGCAGCACACCAGCAGCCTAACCATTGTCATGTTTTTTGTAGGCATCACAGCGAAGGAGACTTTTGAGGGCAGGTCTACACTACAAATGTATATCAGCACAGATGCAGCTTTGCTGCTGTAGCATGTCTGGTGAAGACGCTGTAAGCTAACGGGAGAGCGCTTTCCCATCGGCTTCATAACTCCACCTCTGCAAGAGCTATGTCGGCAGGAGAAGCTCTCCCACTGATACAGCGCTGCCTACCCGGGGGGTTAAGGTCGGTATAACTATGTTGCTTAGGGGTATGGATTTTTCACACCCCTGAGCGACGTAGTTATAGTGAAGTAAGTATGCAGTGTAGACCAAGCCTAAGGAAGGTTTTGAAGGAGGATAAGGAGTTAGTTTTGCAGATGTTTATGGGGAGCTCCTCCCAGGCATGCGGGGCATGGGAGAAAGCACGAAGGTGCTAGTTTGAAAATTTAGCAAGTGGGTGATAAAGGATGGAGCCATGAGCCAACTAGAGGCAGGAGCCAACCTTTTGATACTGAATGAAAGATCAAAGGTAAGTGGGAATGGGCTGTGAAAGGCATTGGAAGTGAAGAGAAGAAGCTTATGTTTCATATAATAGAGAAAGTGAGGAGTCAGTGGTGGGATTCAAAGGGAGCTTTGGTTCTTTTGTTGTTAGATCTCATATACTTTTACCACTTCAGATTTCTTCTCTCATTGTTTCCCCAGAAGAGTATAAGTGAAAGCAGGTCTCTGCCTCTCTCTGTGGTTGGCTCTCATTTATCCGAAGCCATGAAAGCTGGCTACCCAGTCGACTTAGAACGAGCGGGTCTGACTCCTGAAGTTCAGAAGGTTATTACTGATATCATCCAAAACCCTCCCATCAACTCAGGTGAGAAGCACAGCTCTAGTCTGAAGGTCTCAATGACAGTCATTGGGATATGGATAAAGCAAACAAGAAACCTGTGTATCCTGTTTGTTCCTTTGGTGAGAATTCATCACTCTGAGGACCCGTTCCTGAGCCAGGCTGATCATGGCAGGGCAAAGGACATTCCCCTCAGGTGTGAAGCCAATGGGAGATAAGGGTGCATGGAAAGCCACAGCCTCAAGCCATAAAGGAGAGGAGGAGGGGAGTTTTCTTTAAGAACTTCTGAGTTGAGTGCAGACACAAGATTGGTGTCTCAACAATATGTAAAAAGATCCAGACATAATTTTTTAACTGTGTCCATATTTAGGCACCTAACTTCAGCCTCTGAGTTTGAAAACGTTGGCCCCAGTGAATAGTTATACTTAGGCACCAGCAGCATGCCAAGTGAATCCTTGAAAATATCTTAAATTTCCTCACATTGCAAACCTGGGTCATTTAAGATACTGGGGTGACGAAAAGAACCAGACAAGTAAACTAATAAATAGGTTGTTACCTGCATTTTAAAACTTATCAGAATTCTGATAAATGTTAGATGGGCACCTGATTTAGTGATTTAAGCTCACAACTGGCAGCCCCAAAGCAGGGTTTCGATTTCCAGCTTTTCCACTGATCTACTGCTTGGCCTTGGGTGAGTCATGTCATCTCTGTGGTTGTTTTCCCCATCAGAAGGAAGCAGCTTTCATCCCTCCATATTGCAAGCGAGGTAATGGAGAAGTTGCATTTGTCACTTCTAGCAGAGCTGAAGATAGAACCCAGATCTCTAATATGGCAAATATTGATGATGATCTTCATTCTGTTTAAAAGGAAACCAATTACAGTTGTAACCCCCACACCTCCTGGGTGTGGTGCTCTGTCCCATCTAGTGCCACCGAGACCGCTTAGAGAGAGAGAGAGAGAAAAATGAGTCTGCTCTACAGCCTTAATTAAGAGCCAGTTGGCTTTTAGATCATGCGGTAGAGGCTCATGCACTAAGCTCCAGAGGTCCCCGGTTCAATCCCACCTGCCAACGACCGGGGTCTGTTGGCGTTACACAGTAAAAATAAGGAAGAATGCTCTGAGTCTTCTCTTCTTTCCACACCCCCAACTCTACCGGGGCCATTCATGAGTCACTGACATTTGCAGGAGGAAAGCGTGGAGCTTAGAATAAGGAGAGGAATTTCTGGGAGTCTGAAGACTCATTCTCACCAGCTCAGCAATTCCCTGCTGTAGAGCTGGGCTCCATTATTTTTGGACTTTGTACACTAAGCTGACCTGTAGGTAGGTCAGTGATCACATGCCACTTTCTAGGGCTTGTGGGCCCAGAAGCAATTCAGCTTTGTACCTGTTAACCAGCACTGTCAAGATAAGTTTCTTATCTGTACTACAGATAACCCCATAAAATCTGAATGACTTCCACAGGGTGGAGTGTTTAACTCTGTGCACTTCATTCAGCTGGGACAGTGACAGCTGGCTGCTACGTTTATGGTCAGTTACTCCTTTGTTTCCATGTGCTAATACAATGCGTGGTGTTTGGGCTGCCGCACTCTGTTCAACAAGTTCTGCAACAAATCTACTTCCACTTAACGACAAAAATCAGGAGAACACTTGTTAAGCTTTTCTGTAAGGTTTTGGATGTAAACTACTTTAGTCCCTTTTAAGTAAAATGAAGAATATTGTCAATATTTCCCAGAGATGATTCATTTGTGTTCTGTGCGTCCCATTATTTCTAGATAGCAGAGTGTGAGCAGTTGTTAAATGATAAACAAATTTCAGACTAGAAAGAAGATGCAGACTTTTAACAGTGAGGGCAATCACTGGATGGAGCAATGGGCCAAGGGATGTGGGTGGATACTCCTTCGCTTGGAGTCTTTAAATCAAGATTGCATATTTTTTATAAAAGATCTGCTCTAGTTAAACAGCAGTTAATTCAGGGAAGTTTTCTGGCCTGTGTTATACAGGGGGCCAGACTAGATGATCCCAATGGTCCCTTCTGACCTTAAACTCTGTGAATCTATTAAATTGTTCATGAAAGGTACCAGCGCCACCTTATGGTGTGTAATGATTAGAGGGGCAAGGGAGAGTTGGGTGAGGATATTGAGATGGAGAGGTGGCCATGACATTAGGGTATGTGATTGACAGTGACATCACTCGATCATTGGGGGCGTGATTCTGAGGATGGGGGAAGAGGCTGCAGAGGGCTGTATTAAGGAGAGTGCAGGCAGACCTGTAGCATGGGAGCTTGGCTTGTTAGGATGTGCCGTCACCAGGTTGGCTGATGTGATTACAGATAAGTCCTTGTTATGTCAAAGTAAGAACAAATGATATTTGTGACAAATGAGCACATACCCCCTTAGGCCACGTTGCGAAGGACTCCTAGTATACTGGCTCTGTCACATATTGTATGTGATGCAATGCCTAAGCACTTGGCTGAGTTGGAGGTAGTCCAGTTAGAAAGTGCCTTTCATGACCTTAACATGAGTTTGATTTTATCACAGATACTGGTAGTAACAATGAACTCTCTGAAAGATTATTGAGGTAACACTCATAAAGAGCTGGCATCGTGCACAGCTCTGTATTTACTGTAAATGCTAAGCATTATGGCTGGGATTTCAAATAAACCTCAAGGAGCAAAAACTCATGAGGCTCCTTTGACAATCCCAACCTGTATCTATCAGTGGGGACAATAATGCTTCTCACAGAGTGCCGTGAGAACGTCAGGTGGCAAGCATTCCGGAAGTGCTGTTATGTGTTGTTTGTGGTGGTGAGGCTGACAGCTGTTCTTAGGAATCAGTGCCGGGAGGGCAGTTCATTATCCCAACCCCACGGTGTGGGGGCCCGCTGCTGGTTTGGGGGCAGATGAGAGAGACACACAAACTTCTAACTGAGAAAATGACCACTGCTCTGGATAAAAATGAAGAAATAATAGACGTTTGTGGCTAGCATTTATTGTTAAAGTTGATATTGTGATTGGACATGGTCCTTTTTGAATATGTTTTGTTTAAATAAAACAACGAAAATGCCATACCACCTTTTTAAGCACTAACTTACAGGTACACATTCTTATGCTATGAGAAGGAGATATTGGAGACGTATTTTTTTCTTTATTTTTTTTATAAAAGTGTCCTTTTAGCTTTTGGTCAGTTTTAGTTTCTCTGAAATTTCCAGACCCTTTCACACTCCTGCTTTTCAATGAGCCCAGAAACCCTTTTAGGAGCAGTTAGAGGGCTAGCCAGACACCTTCAACTCACTTTCAACGGCATAAACTCAACTGGGTTCTCGGAGAACTCCAATTTCAGTTGGACAGAAAGCCAGGGTTTCACTGGCCAGTGCTGCTGAAAAGCAGCTGGATCAGCGGGAGAGAGGAGTTTGAAATGACTTGCTTACCGTGAGCCTTTGGCTCCATCGACTACCAATCATAGGTGGACAGACTCCTACAGTGCTCCTCTTCGCTAAGAAACTTAATTAAGGGCATTGTCGATGCAGTGTCTTAAAATAAGAGGAAAGCTGTAGAAGAGCCTAGCTGCCTTTAAAGTACAGCGCCTGGCTGGAGTAGGGGAAGGACAGTTGGGGAGAAGAGTGCTAATGGCTTATTGGACCAGATTTGACTGCAGTGGGGTTGCATGGCTGTAAGTGAGGTCAGGATTTGCTGATTGGGCTAGTGTTTTCCTTTCTGATGAAGTTCAAGCTGTGAACTGTAGTTTATTGTATTGTTTAACCCATTCCATGCTGTAAAATATGCTGTGCTTTAATGGGGGGGGAAATTCACTGGCTGTTGAGGTTGAACCTTCCTCCCCAAAGCTCAACGGAGTGCTCCTGGAGCTCTAGTTTGGAGAAGCACTTCAGGAACTTGGAGAATTTAGTAAAATCTCTCTCTTTTTTTCCTTCCAAGATGTAACCAGAACGACAGCGATTAGAGCACTGGTCCCTGCGAATATCGAGCTGTACCTGATCCGAATGGCAATTGCACTGCTGCAGAAAGGGTGTGGGAATGGGCAGCTGGGCCAGGCGTGTGACTCCGGCAAGAAAAGCCTCTCAGCTGAGTGTGAAGGGCTGCCGGGCAGCGTGGGGCCAGCCCAGAAGAGCAAGGAAGGAATGTCATGGACGGAAACAGAGGTTAGTAAACACTGGGTACGTCTATACTTACCTCCGGGTCCGGCGGCAAGCAATCGATCTTCTGGTATCGATTTATCGCGTCTTGTCTAGACGCGATAAATCGATCCCGGATCGATCCCGGAAGTGCTCGCAAGAGGAGTACGCGGAGTCGACGGGGGAGCCTGCCTGCCGCGTCTGGACCTGCGGTAAGTTCGAACTAAGGTACTTCGACTTCAGCTACGTTATTCACGTAACTGAAGTTGCGTATTTTAGTTCGAAGTGGGGGGTTAGTATGGACCAGGCCCAAGTTATAAACCAGTCTGCTTCTGCAAAAAGAACACTTATTTCGTAGAGACATCGTAATGTTTGATGTAAGGTGCTTTTTTATAATGCCTTTACGTGGTGTTCTGATTAACTTCGTATACATCAGGTACCAATGAAAGTAGCTGCATTTTTATCACAATTCACCTTTTCAACCTGTTGTTAATCACTGAAATCAGCTTTGCGTAGGAGAAACCTCTGAAAACAGCATGTTTAAGCTTCCAGACACACCATAGAATATAAGTGTATTCCTAAAAAAACATACAGCTCTGGGCAATATTGGAAGTGCCTGTAAGTTTGTGCCACCTGATAGCTGTTTATTTGCTCTGGTCTTGAAAGTATGGGTGTCTAAGGTACATAGATCTTAACTGCCATTGGATGGCAACCAAATTGACAGTTTCTGAGCGGCAAATGGAGACTGGCCTCCCCCATCATCTCTGGGAGTGATCTCTCACGTTTTAACTTCAAGGTACCTTGGGCCAGGTGATGTCCCCAAGACTCACAGGTGGAGGGGAGCCCTTCTTGGCTGACACCCTTTTACACAGTGGAAAGGGGAGAACTGCACATCTCTGCAGCACAGTCCCTCCCTCCTTATATCGTGCAGAGCTGTCGGTGGGGCTAAGGACCTATGGGTGGGGAGGGGTTGGACTGGGTTTAGAGTTGTCCATCATCCTCTTCTTTCCAGGCAAGCCCTGCCAGGGAACTGGCAAAAAAAGAAGGTAGCTTAAGTCTTGTACTGCAGACTGTCCCACTGTGAGTTCTGGTCTACACTGACTGCTGTGTTGTGCTCAGCATAGGGGCAGGTAACAGAATTGCTGGTAAACATTCATGGTGTGGACTAGGCCTAAGCCTGTTCTAACTTTGCCCTGCGGCCCCTCCATTCTCTGCAGCATGTGTCCCATTGACAGCTGCACAGGGGAGTCCTTTGCCGCACGGCTCCATCCAAGTGGTGGTACAGAGGAGCTGGGGTTACACAGATGATTCCCAGAGGTCAGGGAGCCCATGCATGTGGTCTGTACGTGGTGCGGATCCCCTGGTGTCCACAAGCCTGGGGAGGAGAACTCCCTGCTTGTTCTACAGCAGGGGTAAGCCTGTTCTCCCTCCCCCCCTTCCCTATCCCCCCGGAAAGGTATGTGGGAGTTGTGCAAGAGGAATATCCTGGAACTTTTCCTGCTCTCAGCCAGGTTGCTCCTGTGTTTTCCACGAGAAGGGCTGTTCTGAGCTTCAAGTGGAGAGGGGAAGCTTTTGCGATCCCATGTGCTTTCCTGTCCTGTGGGGAAATGACATGAATGCTCAGAAGTGTCTCTTCCTGCACTGTTCAGACACTACCTACTCCTGTGTGGAATGATGAAAACCTTGTTCAGACTTCCTGTGTCACCTCGGCCAAGTCACTCAGGCTCCCTGGGCCTCAGTTCCCCATCGTACAGTAGGGATAATGCCCTGCCTCACAGGGGTCTTGTGAGGGTAAACACATTACAGATTGTGAAGTGCTCAGTGATGGAGCCCTATGAATGACTAAGATAGATAGATTGAAGACTGTGCCAGGCATTTAGGAGCAAGGTGGACTTCTGGACCCTGTGCCCCCTGGGCAGCAGAGTGCAAAAGCTCTACTTGACAGGTCACTCATAAGAACAGCCATACTGGGTCAGACCAAAGGTCCATCTAGCCCAGTATCCTGTCCTCTGACAGTGGCCAATGCCAGGTGCTTCAGAGGGAATGAACAGAACAGGTAATCAAGTGATCCATCCCCTGTCGCCCATTCCCAGCTTCTGGCAAACAGAGGTTAGGGACACCATCCCTGCCCATCCTGGCTAATAGCCATTGATGGACTGATCCTCCTTGAACTTATCTAATTATTTTTTTGAACCCTGTTATAGTCTTGGCCTTCACAACATCCTCTGGCAAAGAGTCCCACAGGTTGACTGTCTGTTGTGTGAAGTTGTGTGAAGAAATACTTCCTTTTGTTTGTTTTAAACCTGCTGCCTATTAATTTTATTTGGTGATCCCTAGTTCTTGTGCTATGAGAAGGAGTAAATAGCACTTCCTGATTTACTTTCTCCACACCAATCATGATTTTATAGACCTCTATCGTATCCCCCCTTAGTCATCTCTTTCTTTTCCAAGCTGAAAAGTCCAGGTTTTATTAATTTCTCTTTATATGGAAGCTGTTCCATACCTCCCATCATTTTTGTTGCCCTTTTCTGTACCTTTTCCAATTCCAATATACCTTTTTTGAGATGGGAAGACCAGATCTGCACGCAGTATTCAAGATGTGAGCCTACCATGAATTTATATGGAGGCAACATATTTTCTGTCTTATCATCTATCCCTTTCCTAATGATTCCCAACATTCCAACTCGTGAAGGGAATGTAGCATTGTGAGATTGCAGCTGAAGGGCTGTTTATACCTACATGGGTACGTATGTCTATGCTGGCACTGTGGCATTAGAACTACACGAGCAGGGGAGTTGTGTTGCTCTGAAAAGCAGAATAACTATGCTAGTAAAAGTGGAGGCTTTTGTCAGAGATAAAATAAGCACGAAAATGTTCCAGGTTGTGCTGAAAAAAGGTGAGTTTTGCTCCAGTCATCATTAACGTAAATAATTTTGTATCATCTGTTAACTTTGCCACCTTCCTGCTCACACCTTTTCTAAATAATAAATATATTAAATAACATGGGATCCACTATGGAACCTTCAGGTTCCCACTCTTAACCTTTTGCTGATGAACCTTCACCATTTATTCCTACTTTTCGTTTCTTGTCTCTTAGCCAGTTTTTGATCCATGACAATACTTTGCCTGTCACCCCATAACTACTGCAGCGTTTCTTTAATAGCCTCTTGCTGGGGATTTCATCTTCACGCTCCTAAGCTCTCAATCCATTTTACTGGTTTTGCCAGGGTTCTGTCTCTGTTTCCAGAAGTGTATCCTTTTGTCTCTGGTACCCTCTGGAGTCTTGCCACTTAGCCGTGCTGGTTTACTGCTTTCCTTCCTGCTTCCCTTGTTTTCTGAAGTTGCTTCCATGCCAGATCTAAAGACTTCAATTTCTGCATAAATGTACTTCTGTTTGTAACTGATAGAGCAGATCCAGTGATGGGAAATTATTTGCATGGTGCATTTTAACAGTCACAATAAATTTACCGCAGTATTTTAACAAGATGAGAGAAGTGAGCTCCTGTTCATTTGTGACCTAGGGCCAAGTTCAGTGCCTTGGAAAGAGATGCTTGTTCTAGTAACCCAGTGTCCCGCTAGTACCAATCTCACATTTGTTATTGCTTTTAAAGGGGATTTCAGTGAAGCCAACCACACACACATACAAGTTTGTGTCCAGGGAAGGAGCAAAACAAGATCATCCACATATGGATTCTTCACCTTGGGTAAATCTGTGTCTTTATATTATAACACGTGATAGTTTTGCTGGTAGTGAGTGAGATGGGTAATCATAGAATATCAGGGTTGGAAGGGACCTCAGGAGGTCATCTAGTCCAACCCCCTGCTCAGAGCAGGACCAATCCCCAACACCCTATCTATTCCAACACCCTATTTTTGATGTTCATATCTTTCTGAACAACTTTATTTTGGGCTGAAATTTCCCAGCACTTAAATAATAGGGTGATAGGTGCTGTACAAAAACTTTAGTGGATAGAAACATCTCAGTCCAGCTCTATATATTAACTAACCCCTTTGCTGGAAAGAACACCTCTGAGCAATAAGCAGTTTTGAGTCACCACCAAATATTTAAAGGCTCCAAAACTGCTGTGGGATACAGTGCCTAATGCTTCTCAGGTCAGCCAACAAGGCTGTTGAAATACACGTTTCAGCACCTTGTGTTTGAAATAACAGTGCTCCGTTTCCTGATGTTCTGAGTGGTCTAATTAAGTAGAAGGCACTATATATCCTCCCTTACTATAGTGTAAGCTTATTTCCAAAATAAAGAACTTTCCATGTATGCAATATTAACTGTTTGGATTTTGAATCTTAATGTTGTAAGTGGAAAGTTTGCTTTAACAGGCCATGTTTTATTCTTTTAAAATGAGAAGCTTGTAAAGAGCAACAAGATGGACGACAAACAACTCTCGAATGCAGAACAGGATGTACCAAGCCATCAAACCTCCCTTCGTTTAGCCTCCTGGAATCAGCCTCCCCTGGATCCCGATGAAGAGGAACTGTTCAGTGACTCCCAATCAAAGGTAGCGCTCTGATCCATAATCTTAGGCCTGGTCTACGGGGGGGGGGAAGGGCGCGATTGATCTAAGTGACGCAACTTCAGCTACGTGAATAACGTAGCTGACATCGATGTACTTAGATCGACTTACCGTGGTGTCTTCACCGCGGTGAGTTGACTGCTGCCGCTCCCCCATCGACTCTGCCTGCACCTCTTGCCGACCTGGAGTACAGAAGTCGACGGGAGAGCGCTCGGGGGTCGATTTATCGCGTCTAGACTAGACGCGATAAATCGACCCCCGCTGGATCGATCGCTGCCCGCCGATGTCTACATTACCCGATCTGGCGGGTAATGTAGACATACCCTTAGTTACACCTTGCAGGGTCCGAAAGTCTGGCCCGAGCCCAGAAGTCTATACAGCAATGAAACAGCGCTGCAGCCTGAGCCCCGTGAGCTGAGCCGGCTAGCATGGGCCAGCTGCGGGTTTTTCTTTGCTATGTAGACGTACCCATACAACTTACTATTTTTTTCCCCTGTGAGGTAATTATGCTTTGTAATCAAGCTTGGCTCTCTCGAACTAGACACATTAAGCTCTTCAAGTCGCTCACTGTAACCCATTTACTCCAATTCATTTTTGTGGCTCCTTTCTACACTTTCTCCAATTTTTCAACATCCTTTTAAAAATGTGAACGCCAAGATTGTACAAAGTATCCAGTATCCGTCTCACTAATACCATTTACAGGGGTCAAAATCTCCTCCCTACTCCTTCTCACTGCTCCCCTTGTTTATGCATCCAAGGATTGCATTAGCTCTTTTGCTGTAGTGTTGCACTGGGCGCTCCTGTTCAGAAGATAAGGCAAGTTCCTTATATAAGTTCTTACATGTTAGAAAAAAATCTGCCGTGAAGCTAACAAACCAAACAAACTTGTAAGATATCACTTACTATCTTTAGTACCTTCTCACCATTTAGGAATATTAGTTGCATATCTTAATTCAGTTTCTATATACATTAAAGTACCCTATCCTTTTTGTAAGAATATGCTGTTTAAACTCTGATCTATAGTAATTAATGTTGTTTCTTTTATACTGTGGTAGGACCTAAAGGCTCCAGACAGGTTGGGTCCAATTGTGCTAGGTGCTGTACAAATATATAATAGTTCTTGCCCCAAAGAGTTTACAGTCTAAAAATAGTGCACCAAGTATTATCAGCCACTGATTATTTACAATTATTGTGAAAGCAGAATTTAGTGAAAGTCCAGTCACTTCAGTGGGACCGATTTCACTGAGTAGGAGGCTCACCCGCCTATCCCCCCTTCACTAGCCATGCTAGTGTCTTGTTTGTATAGAACTTCTTACAATACTCGGTGTTAACCTCCATAGAAATGTAAATGTAAATAGGGAAGTGTTGGTGCATTGTGGCATCTTTGGTTAGCAGAACGTCTTAGTCCTGCTTTATGTTTAACCATCAGGAGTCTCCCTCTCTGCCCTAAAGATGCCAGACTCCATCAATTTATATACAGTAATACTCTGCCACAATCTAGCATCTTATAAAAGATCTTATAAGACCCTGATCTTATAAAGCAGGGAGCATACTGGGTTTCCAGTCTTGGCTCATAGCTTGATAGGGAAGCATGCAGATCCCAATCCACCTAAGGCCTTTTTGCTTTTCTTCATGTGTATCATCCTTTTCTTTTTGTCCTCTCCTAAAAGAGGCACTGTGGTGCCTCTAATAACATGCTAGTGGTGCTGCTTTGAGCATGGCTGTTTCAGTTCCAGCCTGTTCTCATCAGCAAAGGAATAGCTGTTAATCCTGCCAATCAGAAATCATCTTACTTTGCAAGCAGGAAGACAGCCCAACCCAATCTGGATCCAACATTGAATCACTTAGCAGTCTGGAGTTTGGATCACAGTTCCCACTCGCTGCCCAAAATAAGGGCTTGGATGAGGTTCTTTAGAATCCAGAGTTAACAACTACAGTGAATGTATTTTCTTGGTTTTATCCAATCCCACTCACACTGGAGTCTTTCTGTCCTTATCCAAGCCACACTTAGAGTTCTGCAGTGTCTCACCCCATCTTGCCTAATCTCTCTCTCTTGTTCTTATACTGTGCCCATCTTCATGGTACAGTGTCAGCACCTTGAGAAGGAGTGTGATCTGGAGCAGTATTTCTCAACGACTGTTCCGTAGACGGGTGCTGGTCCCTGAGAGCTCCCTGACCCAGTTTAGTAAGCTAGCAAACTGGTCCCTGGTGTCAAAAAGGTTGAGAAACACTGGTCTAGAGGAGTGAACACAGGGTTAAGAGTGAAGAGCTCCTCTCTTCTTATCCACATTCCTCCAGCAAGTCTGTTCCCACTAGGAAAAACGTACTTTTTAAAATCGGGTAACTCACGTTCGCTGATGTGCCTGCAAATGCTACGTGGCATCTACTGTAGACACAGTTTAACACCTGGACATTGGTGTTAGCTAGTGGTGGGGTAGCCTAGGGTACATCACTTTAATTCTGTTTCTCCATCGGTAAATGGGGATATAGCCTGACTAGCTGATGGTCAGCGAGGTTTGTACAGCGCTTTGGACATGCAGAGTAATTTAGGTGTTGAAGCACTGTGCATGGCAGGGGGTGGAGAAGGGCCCATCTTGCCTATTCCTATCCTACACGTTTGGGAGAAGGCTTCAAAATCCCACAAAGGGTGGCTAGAGTCCCAGCTCGCTCTCCCTGGGGAGTCGCTGGGGTTGGTGTTCAGTAAGCTGAGAGCCAGGTGAGGATGGTTTGTGGAGAAGGTCACTGCCTAGGTCTCTGTGGGGCACTGGGGTAGAATTGAGTAGTGGGCCCCGCCCTGACTAGTATGGGGCTGAGTGGATGCATCCTTCCTTGGGCCTGTGGGAAGTTGGGTGTTGGTTTCTTGTCCAGCTTCCTGTGGGGTGCTGAGAAGCTTGTGGAGGAAGAGGGTCTCTGGGTGAGCTACTTGAGGTCTTGGGGAGAGGATTCCCTGTCCGGGCACTCTGGATGGGGTAGGGGAGTCCCTGCCTAAGTTGCTTGGGGAAGGGAGGGTTGGGAGGAAAGGAAGTCCTTGCCCGGGCTGTTTGGGGGCAGGGGAATTTGGGAAGAGGGCTCTGCCCATCCCATGTTGGGTGAGGGAGAGCCTCCCCCCTACAATCTGAAGGTGACTCTGCCTGACTTGTGGAAATTTTATGCCATAATGGTGGAATGTTTGCTTAAATGTCCAGCTTTCACATGATGAAACCTGGGCTCTCCCACTTTGCCATAGCAGGATAGATGGGGGATGGAGAGAAGTGGTCCCTGTAATAATTGGGCTGTAGCTATTTCAGGGCTTTGAAAAAGAGAGAGACCCTGAAATGTACCCAGAATTTTATTAGCAGCCAGTGCATGGTGAGGAGCACTGGTGTGATCATACCAGTCAAGAGCCAGGCCCCTGCATGCTGCATCCAGGCACCAAGCCTGGTTTACCTCACGTTCTGATTACTTTGGTCATTCCTAACCTGCAAAAACCATTGTTTCCTTCTCAAGCTGATACACCTCAACAACCAAAAATTACCCAGCTTCTCCTTGTTCTTATTGGACAGGGTCAAACTGGTGGGGAGTGGGAGCGGGGGATGGGGTGGCAGCACTCATCCTAACTCTGCCCACAAAATAAGGCCTGCCCGTGAATCACCAAAATGAGATGTGCTCACTGTTGTTTGTGCAGCTTTTGACCCCCCCCTTGGGCTTGGCTACTCTTTGGTGGGGCATATACATGCTTATGGCTCTGCCGGCCTCCATGGGTTTGAGGGGGGAAATGTACGTGGTGGTCTCCCGTGACACCAAAAGGAGCTGTCACTCACAGTAAATGGCACAGATCTGTAACCCTCCCTCCCCTGTGTTACATGTCATGACAAAAGAGAAATACTGAATGTCAGCATTTAAATCATCATCCCTGGACCTCTGCCTTATCCCCTCCCTGAGCTGAGTCGGGCTTTGTTCCAGGCTCTCTCATGACTCTCATAGATGTTGCTGCATCAGTTCCACTAATTCATATTTTTGAGTTTTCTTTGCAATCATAACAGCTAGAGACTGCCCCCCCCCCCTTTTTGAGATTCTGAAGAACAGCCTAACGGCTTCAGTGAGGTGCTGGTTTGCTATACCGGCATGTGCCAGCCCATTCCGAGCCCTGGCTCCTGTCATTGCTCTGGCGGTGGACTGTACTTCGTGTTCACTGGAGTCGTTTTCAAAACATGCCCCTTTTCCTCATAAAGAGTGTTTTGAACCTTACCGTCAGGTAACATCTATTCGCATTTCTCCAGACGAGCATGCTTTTTATTGTTCAGTTGAGGTGTGGAATAGTCCATATTATTACTGTAACATTGTGGATTATATGTAAGGCTATGTTTTAGTCACGGGTATTTTTAGTAACAGTCATGGACAGGTCACAGACCGTAAACAAAAATTCAGGGGCCCGTGACCTGTCCATGACTGTTACTAAAAATACCTGTAACTAAAACTTGGGAGGGGGGCCGCGGGTGCTCTGGGGGAGGGGGTGTGGTCCAGGGGGGCCACGGGTGCTCTGGGGGGGCTGCAGGTGCTCTGGGGGAGGGGGTGTGGTCTGGGAGGTGCCACAGGTGCTCTGGGGGGGCCGCGGGTGCTCTGGGGAAGGGGGTGTGGTCCGCGGGGGGCGCGGTTGCCCTGAGGGGAGGAGGTGTGGTCCGTGGGGGGCCGTGGGTGCCCTGGGGGAGGTGGCCGGGAACCCCCGCTAGTGCTGCAGGGGGGCTGCAGCTGCAGCCCGGGACCCCTGCTGGGCAGTGGGGAGGATTGGCGGGGCTGGCAGGAGCTTCCTACCTGGCTCCGTGTACCTGCAGCTCCTAGGTGGCGGATGCAGGGGCCAGGGCAGGGGGTTCTGCTGCTCCCACCGCAAGTGCCGGCTGCCACAGCCCCCATTGGCCAGGAACCACAGCCAATGGGAGGTGTGGGGCCTAAGGGGGTGGCACGGAGACTCCTCCACCGCCTAGGAGCTGCAGGGTGGCCATGCCAGTGGGAGCTGGGGAGCCCCCCACCCTGAGGCAAGCGCCCCCCTGCACTCCCCAACCCCTGAGCCCCCTCCCCACACCCAAACTGCTGCTGCTGGCCCAGGGACTGCCTGGCTCGGGCAGCCCCTGAGCCAGCACCAGCCGCTGCAGAGGTCACGAAAAGTCACGGAATCCGTGACTTCCGTGGCAGACTCGCAGCCTTAATTATATGTTATACTTATCTCCTTCCAGACTCAGCCTGCAAAGAGGAAGTTACCAGAATGGTTTGGAACTTCAAAGGGAACAGATGCTTCCATTACTACTGGCAAGAAATCCAAAGTGGGAGCAAAAAAAGGTCTTTTTGGTTGAACTTGGAAATATCAACAACTTTCTCTTTTAAAGAAGCTCAGAGAGAGCATCTCTATTTTTAGTTTCCAGGACAACTAGCATTCTGAAGGACCTGTTCATTTGTTCACAGTTGAAACCGTTACTGAGCTTGGGCTGGAACAACTTGTCAGTGTGTGGGGAGCAGCCACATCAAACAGCAAGATCTTGAATTCAAGTACATAAAGAACTGACCCAAGGGTTAAATGAGGTCATATTAATATTGTTTATAGAGGCTGTTTGCTACTTTCAGTATTAGGATCAAACTTTCCAAGATTTTTACTGTCAGTTTATTATATATTAGTACAGCGGTTCTCAAACTTCAGCAATCCGAGGAGCCCCATTTTAATTTAAAATTCTGGGGACCTCCCAAGCCTCTCCACTCAGCCCCAGAACCTGTCTTGACTCCACTCCTTCCCCCAAGGCCTCACCCTTGCCCCACCTTTTTCTGCCTCCCGCTCACTCCACCCCACCTCCCTCTGTCGCTCGCTCTCCCCCACCCTCACTCACTTTCACCAGGCTGGGGCAGGGGTGTGGGGCGCAGGAGGGGGTGCAGGCTGTCAGGGAGTTGGGTGGGGGATCTGGGGCAGGGGTCACGGAGCGGGTGAGGGTGCGGGCTCCGGCCTGTGGCGCTTACCTCGGGCGGCTCCCAAAAGTGACCAGCCCATTACTCTGACAGTGTCACCTAGGCGGTGGCGGGGGCACAGGGGTCTCTGCATGCTGCCTGTGCCCACAGGTGCCACCCTGTAGCTCCCATTGGCTGCAGTTCCTGGCCAATGGGAGCTGCAGAGTTGGCACTCGGAGACCCTCCCCTTGCCCCCCTCCCTCCCCAGGGGCTGCTGGGATATGCCAGCCACATCTGGGAGCGGCATGGAGCCAGGGAGCCTGTCTTAGCCCCGCTGTGCCTCTGGAGGGGGAGGAGTTGATCAGCGGGGCCCGCAGACCCCCTGGAGTACCCTCAGGGATCCCCAGGGGTCCGTGGACCCCAGTTTGAGAAATGCTGTATTAGTAGATTCCATTTATTACCATCTAAATGGAAAATTTGGGCAACTTCTGTGAAGTTCTTTCCAGACCATCTCAGCTGCTTATTGTTGTGCATTTACTTTCTTTAAAATCTTCATAACCTTATTCTCATCAGTTGGCATTGAGTTTATTATGCAGGTGCTAAGTTTTTACAGTGCCTCTTTTTTTTTTTTTTTTTTTTTAAGGATGGTAGTAGCCATGAAAGAATGTGGAATATGGGGGATCTTGCAGATGGTTCAGTGCCACAATATTAATAAGTGTTATCTTGCTGCTAATACATATGTCAGCTCAGCATTCTGCATCTACTAACGTTAGATCTGCTTTGATCTGATAATACTGTGCGGTATATCTGATGTAAGATGTACCGTATGGAATTCACTATATTACTATTGAATTTTGAAAAATTATATATATGGAAAAATGTGATAAATAATACTTTTTAAATTGCCATTATGCACTTTGTACTTGCACAGTGGTGTGTTTTTTTATAATAAAATGCTGCATAACGGTACTTACAATACATATAGTTTATTGATTTCTTTCTGTAATCCTGTTCATTTACCTTTTTTGAGAAATCAGACTTGTTTATAATTCCAAGCATCAGTTATATGAGATGAAATTTCAATTTTTAAAATGTATGGATAGCGTGGGTTGGATTTTTTTTAATTAGGGATCAATAAAAGTTAAAAATTCTGATTTGAAATGTAATGTCAAAATCAGCCAGCATACACCTACAGCAGTAAGTTAGTTACCCACCAGACACAGTATAAGATACAGGAAAATGTTTCATAGCATTGGGCAAAGCAAAACTTAACCCAAGGGAACAATACAGTACCATGCTGTTCTGGGGGAGGAGTGTGTCAGCCTAATAAACCAAAATGGAAATGAGATGCATCATGTTATCTGGTAAAGGCCTCTCATAGAATAAACAAAGAGCAGCATCCTTTCATGCATCTGTGCTTCCTGGTACACCAGTTCCTCTTCACTTCTGCAGCAGAAAAGTGTGAAAAAATTGTGATAATTAATTCTAATTACAATAGTTAAGAGAAAGTATGAGCCGCTCCCACAGGGTCAACCTTCATCCTCCTTAGTCTGTGTGCTCTAGTTTAATACTGAGTGTGACTCAAGGAACTTCCACAACATAATGTCTCCCATAGTTTCTCCTGAGGGCATTCTGCATCAAAAAATTTAAAATTCTGCACATTTTAAAATTCTGAAAGTTTTATTAATAATTAAATGCAGAGGCTCCAGCATGGCAGTGGGGGAGCACGGGCTACTGGCTGCACGGAGGTGGCAGATCACCCTGCAGCTCCCCTGCCCAAGGACAGGGACTTGGTGATGAGATTGCACCCAACCCTGACACAGTGCAAGAGTCAGGCTTGCTCCAGAAACACCCCTGGTCCCTGCCCCTCCACACCAGTGGCATCAGGTGTGGGCAGGCAGGCTTAGCCCAGCCGCATCCACGTGTGGAGGAACTTAGTTTGGGGGGGGGAATCCAAGTGTGGGGTGAGAGGGTTCTGTGGGGGGCAATCTGGATGCACAGTGGCTCATTGGGAGGTCCGGGTTTAGAGGGGACTCTGTAGGAGGGTCCAGGTGAAGGTGGTTGGGCCTCAGCAGAGGGGGGTCTGGGTGTGGGGGGAAGGAGCTCAGCAGGGGGGTCAAGCTGCTGTGGAGGTGGGGGTCCGGCTGCAGCTAGTTGAGGCTCAGTGGGGTGGGGATGCGATGGGCCTGCTTAATGGTTGAGTCCCAGCTGCTGCTGCTGCCACCAAGGGGATGCCACAGGCCGAGCTCCCGCTTCCCCCCTGCAACCTCCTCATCCCCATCCCCTTCCCCTCACTCCTCCGACCCCCCTGCCTTCCCCATTGCCTCTTCCCCCTGCCCCTCCGCAGGCACTCGCCCTTCACCATTGTACAGAAAACAGGATGGATGCCATGCAGGGTACCCAGCGCACACACAAGGGGATAACCACCAGCATGAGGACCCAGGAGGTGGCATCCAGCTGCAGTCAGTGAGCCAGAATGGCCTCCTCGCCACCCTCTGCAACCCCTGCATCTCTGCTCACAGAAATGGGGGGGCGGCAGTGGCATGTGACTGCATATGCCTCTATTGGGGGGGGGGCAATGCTCCCCTGCTCTTCCAACTATACCCGGGAACATGCCCAGCCCCCGCCCCATGGTGATTTACCTCTGCGGGCTGCTCTGGGCACCCGAAAGGATGCACCTGCACTGCTGGGGACGGGGACATGACCGCTTTTGTGGCTTCCTGTAATTGTCTGTGGGGAAGCAAAGAAAGCTGCTGGGACATGAATTTGGCGTGTGCCCAGTGGGACAGACCCCCCCCCCCCGGCCCCCCGCAGTAATATTCAGGCTGTTACCGGTCTTGAGGCATTTACACTAGACACGGGGCAGGTGAAATCGAGGCGTAAACCTCACACCCCGTTTGTGCCCAGCTTTGTAACCGCCTGGTAGTCACCGGAGGCGGGTGTGACGGGCCAGCCAGGCCCTTCCGGGCACCCCTGCAGGCAGGCGGGCACAAGCCTGCCCGTGGCCAACGGCCCCTCCCCCAGCCTTGCCGGGGGGACCCCTGGACCCGGGAACCAACTGAACTGGGGGGGGCACCTCACGAAGCACAGGCGCGGGAGGGGAGGTTGAGAGGGGGGCGCCCGGGCAGCGCCCACTGCTCCTCAGCTGCCGAGGGACTCTGGGCAGCGGCGGGAGTTGGGGGTTCGGGCCCCGGCCCTGTGTAGCCGCCAGCTCAGCTCGGCCCGCGCGCCTGCGTTGCTGTGGTAACCGAGCCTCGCACATCCGGCGGCAAAGGGCCGGCACGTCAGCGCGCGGCGCGGGTTCGCCGACGGCCGCGCGGGGCATGACGGGAGGAGCGGTGGGCGCCGCTGGGCCAATAGGAGAGCAGCAGCGGCGACGGGAGCCTGCTGCGTCCCTTCCTGCTCCCCGGTGCCCCCCGCCCCGCGCGTCGGGGCGGCCTCGCTCGCGGGTGAGTTCTCGTGCGCGAGCGGGGCGGTTGGAGCGGGGCAGCCCGGGGACGCGAGGACATCAACCCCCGCAGCTGCACCGGCCGGGGGGGGCCCGTCTGTCCCCCCCCCCCCCCCTTGCACGGGCCGGGGGGGCCCTGTCTGTTCTCCCCCCTCCTCCCTGAGCTGCACGGGCCGGGGGCGGGACCCCCTGTCTCTCCTTTCCCCTCCCAGAGCTGCCCGGGCCAGGGCGGATTTCCTCTCCCCCCACCCCACTATGGGCCGGACCCCTTCCCCCAACTCCATGGGTGGGGGGGACTCTCCCTCTTCCCTCCTCCCCCCAGAGCAGCGAGAGGGGACCCCCTGCCTTCTCACCCTCCCCACACACAGAGCTGCGGGGCCCACATGGCTCTCTCCTTCCCCCTCTCTCTTACACAGAGGTGAGTAGGGCAGCAAAGACCTTCCCCCTCCCCACAGCTGCATGTTCCTGAGGGGACCCCTTCCTGCCCCCCTACTCACAGACATAACGGCGTGGGTCCTGCTGTTGTGCATAACCGGTCCCAGCATAGCTGCAAAGGAGTGGATGGGGCCGACAGGCAATCTCTCCGCGAACCTGTTGCTGTAGGCATGTCTCTACTGCTCTAACTGCAAAAGACAGCAGGGCTCATGGGTTTGCTGCTTATTGCCAAGTGTCACTCAAACCAGAGCTGCTGGAGTCATTTTTATAATGGGAGTGCTGAGAGCCATTGAACTAAACTGTAAACCCTGTCTATAATGGAAACCGCTTCAAGCCAGGGGGTGCTGCACCTATGACTCAAACAGTGGACAGTCGTGTGTGGTTCCTACCCGAGGCCCTCACCCAGTCCTTGGCCTTCTTACTGTCGTGGTGGCTGGGATTTTAAATGTATTTCTTGTTCCTTGTCCTACATGAGACACCCCCACGTGCTCCAGGGGGACCTGACAGATGGACTAGATTCTTAGCCTTGTCAATGTACAAAGTAAACAAACTCCAAAAAATAAAGCGAAGAAAAATAATCTTCTCTTTCTGTTAATTGAGTGTTTGTAACAATAGTAGAAAGAAAATAAAAATTCAGACAAGTGATTAAACTGATGGTGTCCTTTGTAAATATCCATGAGCACTGGAAAGTATGAAGCACAGAGCGAAGGGAGGCCCCACCTGTATTCAGTGCTTTTATCCCTATCCATCCTATGTAACCTCTAGTGTAAGATCAGGGAACTTATGTGATGATATTGCATCTCATTGACATCTTGAGCCCCGTGGGGGTCTTGGTGATTTAGACTGCAACTGGGGTATCTAGTAACATTTTCTATCTATACATTTCAAGAAGGCCATGGAAACCCTCCCCGCCCCCATACAGACACACACAGAGCTAGATGGGCATAGGAGGGGAGGCACAAACACACACACACCCTACAGTCTGCGTCCAAAAGCAATCCAAGCAGCTTATAGATAGTAAGTTGCTAATATAGTTGTAAAATGTCCTTTGCTTGTTGTAAAGGTCC